ATACAGTTTCTTCAAGTCAGTGATTAAGGTGGAAAGAACAATTATCACGCCCCGAGCGAAAAATGTAAATGTAATAAAAATGTAATAGCTACACGAAGCTCAGCAAGCCCAAAGTGCATCCATGGGACAGAGGACAAGATCGAAAAGTGTGGTTATTCATCTTTGTCAACATGAAAGTCTCACCAAAATCATCGGCGCTTTGGTCTTTATGGTGCTATAATAGCACCATAAAGACCAAAGCACTAGAGATAAACAATTTTTTTGTCCACGAACTGCTTAAATCGGGACGAAAACTGACTTAATGCGAATATTTTGATCAAAGTTTAAGCTAAAATCTATCAAAACAAGCCATCAACCAGGTAAGATCAGTCTCAATCAGAATGACCCTCACCTTGTTGAACTTATGAAAGTGGCGACTGCCTGAAACTATAAGACGCTATGAGCATTGGCACATGGAGGCTAATTACAATGCATAATGACTTATAAATAGAAATGGTTTGATGCAATAATTTACAACCTTTTGTCATCGAAGCTTGGTGTTTATTACGTCCCTGTTTTAGTCCGATTACGTCCAAGAAAAATCTGGCACGTTTAAATTTTAAGAAGAAATGAAATGAAAAAAGGAAAGTCATTGAAAATTCATCTTTTTAATGTCATCTAAAACGTTTCAAGCAATTTGATTAAAAATATTTAAAAAAAGTTCAAAACCTGATGTTACATGAGTCAGAGAAACATTACGTTGTTAATTTAATTATTCGTACAAAATGTAATGGCGATTTGAGAGGACAAATTGATCATGGTCTTTCAAAAAATCGTGTACATGTACATTTTCGTTACAAAATTTACATATTTGGCCAATGGGTGAAGCGGTTTCGCATTGAGAATGGTGTCGAATGGAGCAGGTGACCAAAGCTGTGAATTGATGCTAGAGAGCTGTTACTTGAAATAAAACCACGGCATCCGCCCATATTAAATGTAAATAATCTTAAATTTCAAAGGATCTGAAGAAAAGACAAACGCAGAAGAAAGCAAAGAAAAACCGGAGAAGGTAGCAAAGACAGAAGAACTCAAGTAAAATACATCAATTCTTGAACTCGACTCACATCAAAAGGATTTATTTTGGGTAAGTAAAGCTCTTTTCTTCAATGCATCTGCGTAGGTAAAAACATGTAATTTTAAAAGAATTAATTGTTTCCAGAAACGTCAGCAACCTTATTATTGTTTGAGGTATAGTCGGTGATTTTTGTTTGTTTTGTGTATGCTTCACTAATTATTAGACCACAGGGCTCCATACCTTAACTTAGTTCCATAAAAAAACTTCTAAACGTTCATACGCTTATCGAACCTAAACTGCCCCTTGCATCAACATCTAAAACACAATTCTAGAAAGTTCCAGACAAAAAGTACTCATATGCAAACTAAGATTTCGCCTGGCTTTGTTTAATTCTGATTCGATTTGGAAACTGTTTTTTTGTTTCAACTCACAAAGCAAAAATTAAAAAAAAACGCCATAAGAGAAAGCAATGTATGGGGTAAAGAAGGAATATCTATCTGCTGGCAATCAGATATATGGAAATTTCCCATGCTTAATTTTTAATCGTGATTTAAAAAAAAAGAAACATATTAAAAATCCTGAAAGCTTTTCCGAGGTTTCTTTTCTGATTTTAGTGTTAATTCTTCATCCAAATATTCTTTACATAATTGCCCGCACTTTACCAAGCATTTTAAATCGACTTAGAATGTTGAGCTCTTATTTAAAAACTCCCCATAGCCACAACCAACCAATCAAATATGAGAGTAGCTAAGAGTAAAGAAGGAAGCCTAGATAATTAACACCTCACTTTTTTCAATGTTATAACTTAATTGATATCAGTCTTGAGATAAGGCTTTCATTAAAAACATTGAAGCCACAATCAACACCCTAGATAATGGACAGACCTTTAAATACGCCGATACATGATTTACGCTTGCTAAAATACCTCTCGCGGGTCTTGAAGCTCAGAGCAGTATGCAAAAGTCGAGTTTTTACACTTGCTCTTCCCTTGATAAGCAAGTATGCCAAGTAAGTAAAACAAGTAGCGTACGCGTAGATAATTTGAAAAACTGATCTTGGAGAATGCTTTGCACTTTCTTCTCCCGCCTCGTAATTCCACTGAGGGGCACAAGTGAGTAAAAGCAAACCATTCAGAAGGAAATATATGAGGGTTTAAGGCAATAGACTGCCATACAGTAATACTCCTTGTCGCTCTATGCCTACACTGAGACACCAGGATTAAGTTCACTGAGACAGTGTGGTACACTTGATCGTAAGAATTAGCCATCTTCCTCAGTCTGTTAGCTACAATCAGGGCACAATCTGAAAAATCAGTAAATGGTAAAAATATGTGTACAAAACGTGATTTATCCCTTTTTGAACTTTATAATCAACGCAATGAATCGTTTCAACCACGAAGTAACCTCACTCCGTATAACCCCTACTTCACAAACTCTTAGATTTACTTAAAGTTTTTCGCTCATTCATTACTGGCTGCCTCGATTCCTGTTACCTCGAGCTCGAACATCAAATTTGGTCTCACGTGGCTGGAAAAAACACCTCTTATCTCGAGCTTTACAGAATGCAACATTACAAACAGTAAAAAAATAAATAAATAAATAAATAAAACGTGAAAGCAAAAATTGAAATTGCGATCATTACATCTTAATTCCCGGGCTTTCACTCACTCCATTGCACATTTTAAAACCGAATTTAGTTACAACAAAAGCGATCGTCTTACTGTTTATTCAATCTAAAACAGATAAATTTTGAAAGTACGAGACATGGTGGACTATTTTCCCTTAACCACTGATAATTCCATTCGAGCTAACGCGAATTCACTCTAACCTCTTGTTCCATCACAGAAAAGAATTTTAACCTTCTACACCATAATATCAATACGCATATTCTCCATACTGTTCTCTGTACATTTCCAAAGGTGATTACAAGGAGGATTTGTTAATGATCATTTCCTTTATTCTCATGACCTTGATGTATGATTCAGGGGTGATACTGAAGGGAGAAATTAGATGCCACTCACTCTTAGGGACGAAAAGGTTAATAACCTTCAAATTTGGCCACTCGTGTCGTCACTTTGTATAACCTTTTGTATTTCTAGTTAAAGAAATATTTATATCAGTTTAATATTTCATGTGATCTGTGAAATGACCCTCATTTAAATGCAAAAAATCATATAATAAAAATCTTTCATTTTTGTGCAAACGGAAGCTGCAAAAGTTAAAGGACTCCTTTTAATCCAAAAGAAGTCTTTGCTTAAAGTAGCACAAAATCAGTTGCTAAAAATGCTAAAAAAAAAATAGTACATCAGCTTGTCCAACGTATTTGCGAAATATCGGTTTGAAAAGGCAACATACAGGAAAGCTATTATGCCAAAAACTTACATGGTTATCACGGCTAGCTATTTGCTGAAACTTAGAACATCGAGGAAAAAAAATGAGACTATTTTTAAATCAACAAATTTAAAATAAATTGTATATAGCAAAGGGAAACCAATTTTTTTTTCTTTTGGCATATTAGACGTTTATCGCTCAATTTTGCTGCTAAGCCGTACACTCGAAATATTTAACTTTTAAAATTTACGAGACGTTGACTTATCACATATCGCATACCACTGGAGGTTTGGAGGTAGTATGCAATCTTCTGAAGCTCCAGGAAGGTTTCTTTTCACTGCAGTTTCAATAAAGTCTTTAAGAGGGAAAAGCTGTACACCTGCTTGGCTTTCTCGCTAGTAAACTATCATTCCACTTTCCACGAAAATGCTCTCATGATCAGAGAAATATGGTTCGTATTAGCAAGTACGTATTAGTAAGTAGAGAAATCAAAGACCAATTGCATGAAGATTGAAGATTTTTTGTAAAGCTGAACACAATTAAGTCTTACTCTTAAAACTTGGGTCAAAACAAGCAAACAAGAGCTTTCCAGACTGACTCAAGGACAGTTATTCTATGACTTTTTTCCTTTTTGCGATATAAATTGTAATGTATTTCCCAACGACTACCAAACAAAAGTACACCGCTGTTGCTTTGAAGGGCATTACTTATGCTTTGTCGAAAGCTGAGACAAAAATACCCTCTAATTTGAACTTTGCTATCTGAATAAAAAAAAATACATATATTTCTCTGTGCATAGAAATAAAAGGCACATTTTAATTCAAATTAACGAGTGCGAAACAAAACGTTACCACCTTGCTTCTGTGAGTCTTAATATAATAATTGGTACATCGGGATCTGAATGAGTATCTCGTACCTCGGTAAGGATCGACTAGAGAGCTCTAAAAGCCTTTTAATTGCGAGCAGAGGTCATGAATAAAATTTGCATTAGTTATTTTCGAGCTGAGGAATCTACATTATTTTCCTTTGAGTAAACGTCAGCATCTAAGCCCTGAGATTATGCAATGGATGATATTTAAAAAAAAATCGTACATTGAGCTTTGGGATGTCGACGCAAAAATTACCTTGAGTTTTCTGGTAAGTCGCACGCTGGCACAAGGCGTTTTATTTTACCGCTTTTTGAACCAAATGAAAGAAAACGGTATATTCGTAGCAATAATGTCATTTCAACTAGTGAAATATTTATTAAATACGGCCATGACTCTCCACGAGTTCAATGGATTTCCTGCTGAAAACCTGCACGCAACCTCCCCTCAAACAAGAAAATTTGTGAGCTTGGCGGGATTCATTGAAACTTCTATGGTATGAATCTAATTTTCTGGCGGAACATGTCATTGGGGGGCGCAACGTTTCGAAATGCCCAATGTATTCCCCGGCGGTCTGATAACAGATCCCATTCACTTATTGGCTTCATGGAAAACAAACAATTTATTCATTTTATCGCACGAAAAATCTGAGCCCGAATCTATTAAAATGAGAGCAGTGGCAGGTGCAGAGGGAAAAGAATCGTTTAATTGCTTTTTTAAAAGTTGGAAAAAGTAGACCACGCGACACTACAAACTAAAACATCGTCATTGGAGCGACAACGGCAAAGTTCTAGAGAGAAAGATATCAGGTATGAAAATTTGAGTAAACGTTTTAAGTTGAAATCTTGAGTTTTATTTCCGGCCGCTTTGAAATTGTTAATTGACTGTAACACAACAAATTTCGCAACTTCTGCACTGAAGGCAAACTTTTTTTTGCTCCTAAAATACTGAGAGGAGTTGAGAGAGGAAAACTATTCAGAATCCGGCTGGCCGGTGATTCTTTCTATCTTTCCACGAGTATCTTATCAATCGGGTTAAAAAAGGCTATCACCCGGATTTCTCATTACTTTTGAGCGAAAAGGTTCGCGACGGTAAGATGATATTAAACAGGGTTTCTACCTTCGTGTAGGAAGCACAATTTTTATACTCATAACTAGGGTCTAAAAAACAAAAGAAAAGCTTTGCACCTTTTCAAGGAATATTATAAATTGATTTTCACCTCTGTAAATCTATTTCATCTGTTCACGTAAAGAATTCCAATCAGGTTATCACTAGGGCGTCGGAAAAAATATTTTCGAAAAAAACTAGTTGAGCAGAAATTATTTTTCTTATTATAGCACGTGTAGAGTTTATTCCAACTTCTTTAGACAAAAATAATCGATTGCGATTTCAACACCTTTCGATTCAAACATCTTTCAAAGAGAAAACGTATTCCTGTATGCGGTTAATGAAATCATCAAGTGACCAAAAACGACCCCCACAGTCACTGGAAGGTGAAGTTATGCAGGAACACGTTTGGGTTATCGGAGTAAATATCAACATAAGTACACTTTTCAATGAATATTAATAGTATGTGGATGCCGCAGAATTTCCAATACCATAGACCACGCGAAAAGCACGAACGAAATCAAAATTACTTTAAAAAAAATTAAAAGAGGATGAATAAATTCTTATTAAAGCTCCCTACGACATCATGAGGCAGAGAGCTTTGAGGGCACGGCAAAATTATCAGTAGTGCTCCATGAATATCTTCCAGTGTAAAAAGCCATGAAATGTATGATACCTCAAGTTAGCTCAAGTAAAGCATAGTTTGATAGGGAAAGGTCTCACACTTCTCATAAGGCAAAGAGAATTTTCCAACAATGTAGTTTCAACATACGAAAAAAGTTAGGTAAAAATTAAAGACAACGTATTAAAAAAAAAGACGGTTTACTCAAAGCAGCTTAGTCAACCATGACCTCGACTGTAAATACTTTTTAACTGTACTTCATTGGTTGCTTAAAAGTTCAAAAGAAAAAGGAAAAGAAATAGGCAATAAAATCGATCCTGAAAATCACTCTTAACCTTTAACCCTTCCCTGACGTTTTTTCTCAGGCACTGATTTTCTCTCACTTAAAGCAAAAGTTCTCCTATAAAGAATTCACGTGAGGTCACCAGTATCATTTCCTAATTTTCCTACGAATATTACGAATATAAATGAATGATAAAAATGAGATTGATATCGCGACCACAAGATAAAATTTCTAATGAAACTTTTCATGTATATCAGTATATTTCCGAAAGAATATGTAGTGACGACGTCGATCTAAGTTCTTTTTTAGAATCACGTACAACAGAAAATAAAATGGATTTTTAATCAACAAAATGAGCAGCTGTATATTCCGGTCGCGTCAATGTCTTTGACTGACCAAATCTACACTCTTTAGGAAATTTCTAATAAATTTGAAGTCAAATGACCATCAGCATATTAACGGGTGGTAAATACACTACTACATCATAAAATTTAGTTTGAATTGGCGTTTTTGGCGTACACGTTGCCAGCACGTATTGTTCGGCAATATTGGAAATTAATGAAACGCTATTGAACTGCGTCAATATACGTGAAGCAACTCTAATTTTCAGTTTCCTCCAAAATCCAACGCCTAAACAAGATACGGCATAGGGACAGTTATTGAAAAGAAACAGCAATAACCTCGTGGTTCTTGTTGTTGTGTTTGCCCACTTTTATTTTGAGATTGTTGAATATTTTTCGTGCAGGGTAACGTATTCATCGGTACAAAATGACAATTTCACTCACAACTTTAGAAAGAGTTTCATTTAAGACTTTCTGTTTGAGCCTGAGCCACTGGGCAAAGAGAATTGTTGATTTGGGGCGTAGCTTGAAAAATATTGAAGTGCTTGTATTTTTAAGGGAAATTTAATTCTAACCATCTATAACTGGGCAGCAAATTAGGACGACCACAAAAGAGATTACATTAAACCTAAAACCTCGATGCGGAGGCAAATGTTTCGATGAAAAATGAAAAATATATGTATTAAAAAAAATGCGGGGGCAGACAGCATCCGAGAGATCTTCACGAGGCCTCAAAGTTTAAAAAAATATAATAATCAAAGAATACTCCGTTTAAGAAAATATCCTCTCGGAAACTCCATCCTGAACTTTTTTCCAAGATCGATTTCAGGAATATTTTGTGGAGCAAGTCACATTAATGAAACCGTCAAAAAAATTAAGAATGCAAATTAACAGAGTTACGTCAAACCATTTCAGAGCTTACAAAGCTCGCATCTCTATTGAAAAAAAGTGTTATTAAAAGCTCGCTGTTGGATGAAAGGTTTAAAATGTCTTTAAAATTTGAAAAGGAACCCATCCATTGGGCACCTGACTAATGCATATAATCTCTTAACGCAGAAGAGAAATTTCCGACTTTATTACGCGGTTTATTTTATCGAGACAGAACGGAGTCATTTGGTCAGTGATTTTTCGCAATCTTTTCGCACTCTTTTAATTCCGCGGGATAAGTTAACCAAAATATATCTGGCTTAAAAAAATAAAACAACATAACAAATATACAAATAAAAAAAAACCATCAATTTACAAAACCATTTATATTTCTTTTGACCAAACGCGTTTTCAAGACTTAGTATTGGGACTAACTAATTTAAAACGTCTCAACAAATATGTTTTTAAATTGAAAATCGAAGAAGCTTTAAGAAGAGCTGTTAAAGATTTCTGTGCAGAAACCTCAAAGGGGTCGCGTCAAAAGCAATATTAACGACCAAAAAATTATTATGCAGTCAACGAAAAAGAAAGCCTTGCATTTAAATGTTGGCAAAAATTTCGCATTACCTTCGAGATGAAGCTTTTTTTGGACTATTTCACTTAAGAGAAAGCTGTAAAACGAACAGACGTCCAGGTAGGTTGGCCCATCAGTAAGGATTAAAGAATTCAAGCTCCAGAACTTTCGAGTCGATGGATTACAAAATAAAAACTAAATAAATTCATGACTGATAAATATCATGGTGTCACCAAAATAACCTCATATTTTTATTTTTTTGGGTTGCACCAAACTATGCGGACTCCACTAATCATTTGAAGTTGTAAAATTGGCGGTTTCCTTACCCATACTGGGTGAACGTTTACAAACAACAATCGTTTAGTCAAAGAAAACAGCGGGTAGTCTATCAAACCAGACCCATCTAAAACGACCCAAGATCACTTTGAACCAAATCAAGATAACCCCGTAGGGTTAGCTGAAGTTCATTAACATGAGATACCTACGAAAGTTTTCGGTTGTGCAATTCAAATTCTTAATTCTTTATCAACTGGAAATTGTGGAGGAAAGGCGACTGTGCATGATACTAAGTCCAGCCAGTTTGATTATTTGTGGCTTTTAAACTTTCCCAAGCCTCACACTTATAAACGTCGGCTTTTCCTCCATGGCTTAAGCTCTAACGAAAAGGCAAACCTTCAGTTTCTATGAAACTCTTTTTACTTGGCTCTGTTATTTCCAAACTGCTGCCGCTCCTGAAGAAGTTCAGACACCTCTACTCTAACTTTCAAATCTAAGATAATGGAACATAAACAATTAGAAAAATCTCAAACTAGGGAATGTATTTCAGAGAAATCATCTTAAATAAAATTATTAGACCAGTTTGACTCAAAAACTCAAATGTTTCACCAGCACTACCATATCTCATTGAATAGCAACAAGACTGATTAAAGGAAAGTTTTTGTTTAATCGAACCTCGAATGTAGTAATGTAGTGAACAAAAATAATTAGATTTCACTTGTCTCTTCTTCTTATTGATGATGGCCATAACCATCATCGTCATCATCGATATTTTCATATTTGTCAATATTTCAATCGTAATCATTATCAAATCATTATTATAATGATATTATATCTATCCTCATCATCATCCTTATCGTTATTAATATTATTATTATCATCACTATCATCATCATTATTTTGCTATTATCATTATTATTACATCATTCCTCACTACCTCAAATATCATATTACTTTGACAGGGCATAACTACTTCTACCGTGAAAAACCATTATTGTGTATTTTCAACCTTTCGTTTGAATGCGATTTTAAACAGCATGTTTAAAGGATACCCAAACGTATGAAGTGAACAAAGTATTCTCTGCCATAAAAATGAGAAATATTGCTAAGCTTTCATTCAGGAACTTCAAATCAAACATTTGTGCACACGTTTCAGTGTAAAAACTACAAATACAATAGGCAGCAATTAAAAAGAGTCGAAATTGAATAAAATTAAACTACGCAAACAAATAACAAGTTACCTCGATACCACAGAATAAGCACAAATATGTGGATGTACCCCGAGGTTCAAAGAAACACAGAAGTGTCATGATAACTCGGTGTTTTTATGCTTGTTTCATTCGGCTGAATGAAAATGCTTAATTGATATTATTTCCTAATACATGTACCAGCAAAGACGCAATTTAAAATTGTTTTGCACTCCGAAACGATGTTCTTTCACTGTTTTATAATAGAAACAAAACCTCTCATTATTTTCGTAAGGAAAAAACAGAAAAGACAAATTGCAAAACAAAATAAAAGATAAATAAATAGCCAGTGAAACCTGAGAGAAAAGTACGCTTGAAGGATGAACTACAGACATATTAAAAATTTGACGTATCAGGTGCACAATTCTTGTTTTACAGCTCCCAAAGAAAAAACAGATTAGAAGCTACTAAAAAAATTGGCAGAAATATTTAACAGTTTCCCAGGGTTTTAAGACAGCAAGAAGTCTGATTATATTTATTGACAATTGGTCGCATCACTGTGTGCACACGGGGAGGCCACATCGCCAGAAATTTTAATTTCGTTTTCTTTCGCAGATCAACCCACAATGATGCAACACGAGGACAAAACTTGGCAATCAAGGTAAGAAGGAAAAATTCCAAATTCCATATAATCCAAACAGATTGTAAAGCAGGCAAGAGTGAAAAATTAATTTGTTTAGCGCGGTAGGAGCAAATTATCTCGGCGCAACACATCACGGTATTCATAGGTGGTATTGCCAATAATACCTCAGTTATTTCATCATTAGACGCTGGAATTTACCAGGATTTTCATCGTAAAAACAAAGACATTGAGTAAAGACGTAAGCTAGCGGACACTCTTAGAAGTCGATATCATCCTGGGTTTGCTTTTGCTGTTTTTAATGGATTGTAAAAACTTCTGTTTACTAAGACAAAAAGCTAATCAACATTAATTTCTTTAGCCACTTTTACATTAGACCTTTGAGGTCGCAAGAAAAAAGTTAGCATGGGGAAATTCCTTTCTTCATTTCGTGGATCAAAAGTAGACGTTAAATTTTTCCAAGGAAAGAATGAGCCATAAATAAGATAAGAATTCCAATTTTAATTATGCGAAAGTAGTTTAATATACGGCAGGTTCCTTTAATACCTTTATTTCCAATAACATTTAATTAAACCCTTTCTTTACCAGTTCAAATCGTATCGAGTACTAGTGAAAGCTGCACTTTTCTGTTAATATTATTTCCGTCTCATAATTCGTGTTTGCAAAGAATAATATAACTAATTGTTAGTCGCAGGCTTTCTTTGTTTGTGTTGCTTGTTTGTTCGTGAATCTGTCCCTTTTACTAGTATAAATAAGCCATCTTTGGATATCTAAGGCTGAAAAAGACATACTTCTGTAAAAGTGACCTCATCTGTAATCTCTTGTCGAAAACTGTTCTTCAAGAGAGATGATAAAGAAAGCGTCACAAGCGGGATTTATTCTCTGTTGATCCGGACTTCATTTAAGTAGTTTTTCCTTTCGCATCGTAATTGAAGTTACGCAATAATTGAAAAAAATATTTTGACAGTACGTCATCAGAACTTCCTATATTTACAAAGGGAAGTGGTCTCATCCAATCGCCTCCAGGTAGCCTTTATCAGCCGTGTAAGAGTTTTTAACACCTGCTTGCACTTTACAAACTAAGCTGAGAAGGAGTAAGAAATTGGAGATACTACATTATTTGAAAATGTCGCACGCTTTCCTCCATGATGATTTGGCGAGCCACTCTCTTCTTGTGGAAAGAAAACAATACGCAGAAACATCTAGTACATATAGCAACAATTCACACACACACACTGACACACATTTCAAATTTAAAATTTCCACTTCACCCATCCACTCAAAAGTTGAGAAAAATAACATTCAAGGTTTGACTGGAAAATGCATTACACCTCATATCCAATCTGCCGTTGATACGTGGTTTTCTGAATGGTTAAGAAAATTTACGTGAAAGAGCAGGAACATAAGACAACGAAAAATTAAATCCAAACAATTCTCAGTGTTTTAGTTGAAAACGAGGAGTTGCACAAGGCTACGAAATATTTTTCATCTTTATTTTCTGTCCTGTCTTCTGTCCTATCTTCTGCTCTGCATAGTGAACTGTCGTTTTTCTAGCTTGCTTCTTTTCATTCTATTTTTTGGCATGGAGATGATTAGGCGGGAATGTTTTTCACCGTAGGACTCTTATCATGACGTAGCTTACTCGCTAAGGTACATAATCAGGAAATCTAAACCAAAAGTTGAACGACGGAAATTTCTAAGTGACATTATTTTCAACAAAAGTCAATTATTGAAGTTGCTATTAATTCAACAACCTCCTGTTTACATTCAGATGGACCAACCATATATCACCGAATAAATATACGTAAGTGAATATTATCTTCCTGTAAACCGCTGCTACTTTACAGTTGGTTGAAAATAACTGGAAGGAAAGATTGTGAATTTGGTAGCTCTCCTCTGGAAGGACTGATTTTGGGCCGCAGTGTCACAAGGAGGCGCATAGAATAGACCCAAAGAAGAATTTGAAGCACTAGGCGTCTTCATTTTAGAGACAACAAACTAAAAATGATTGAAATATAACAGATGGGTCGTACTTTGCTTACAGACGGCAGGTATCAACTTCTTGTACAAAATTTGATCAGCCCATGATATTCCCAAACAGTACTATATTCCTTATACGTAATTTTCGGTGAAAAATTGATTTAAAATCTGCCCTGCTTATTGGCTCTTTGTAACGTATAAAGCTGTAGATACGAATCAATCGCCATGATAGCTTTTGGTTGGAGGACTGGCTAACTAACCAACAAAGTAAACTGCGCCTTTAATTTTCCACTTGTTTGATGGTTTGGCCGAAGTTTAAGTGGCAGTCTTAACTTTACGACTAAACTGGTGACTACTAACTGATCACTAGGTTGTTGCCTGTTCTTTTAAAGTAACCAGGGAAGAGCTGACAGGAGATTGACAGTCGTTCATCAAACTGTCACCTATTCTTAAGTTATAAAGTTGTAGGCTGCAGCCAAACTGCGCTTGTAGCATACATATATGGACTTTCGAAAAGTAAACATCGTCAATATCACTTTAAATTTCCACAGCCGTTCGTCGATCGTTTGACCAAAATAAACCAACGTGAGGAATAAAAAAATACCAGATACAATTTGAACGAAAGATACATAACTTTAGCAATAGTATACGTTTACAAAAATACAGTTCAAGGGTGACTGCGTATTAACAATCGACAGTAAGAGTAAACAGTTTATTTTCGATGAAGAAGGCGTAGCAATAATAACGCCTAATTAACTAAGAGCAGTTAGTATTCATGTCACACGATCAGAATAACAATTACAAGTTTTTAAATAATGGCCACGATAAAGCATCGTCAGCTTTAAAAACATTGGTTTGATTGGCATTGCTTCTGTACGAGTACAAAAACACATTGATCAAGTTACTCAATCAGTTACTCTAGAATTTCCAGGAAGAAGAAGCGAAAGACTTTTATAAGGTCAAAAGGGTCGAGACTGAAAATAATTATTTAGCTTCTAAATTTATGTACCTTTGAAAATGGGTAAATCGTATTCTAAAAACAAATCGATACTAGCCTACAAATCAAGTTGGACGTATCCGTTTGCACTAAAAAACCATATCAGAAACTGATTTATAAATCACTGCAGTTAAATAAGTTATCCCAAGTATATATGCTTAAAAGCGAATCCAAAATTCAAAGTACCTCCTTTAATCTTATGCTTGTACATTTTCACTCAAAAATAAACGTAAGAAATAATTCAACTACCTGTAGTATAGCTCCCGGTGTTGTGGCCTGGCCTTCTTTTTGTTTATGCTTGCTCGGCCCCCAGGAGAAGTTGAAAATAATCAGAGTAACTATCTCAAATTCAACCTGTCTCCAAACACTTTCTGTCCTCTTTTCAGACACATGTGAGCCACTGGTGATTTATTAGCAGGAGAGGCACCTTGGATAACATCATGGCGAAAATACTCATCATCGCCTCTCTGAGCCTTACCATCTGTGTCTCCAACGCACAAGATACAGCCTCACCATCTGAAGGTAGCTCACATTTTAGAAGATACATTTCGCACTCAAGTTCTAAAGTACCATCTACCACTGTTTAAATCCACCAAATACTGTTTCTACTGTTAGCTATCGTGATGCACAATTTAATGATTCCAGATACGATGCGGCTAAATTAGAGAAACCAATTTACACTAATTTCAAGTGGTCATTGGTTGTCACGAGTGATATTGACCATTAAATATGTTCTCTAATTCTGTGCGATTCTGCGGATAAATCCCTTGATTACTCTCGAGTAGTGTTCCACGCTGAAGCTGCTTCAATTCCTTATGCGTGTGGAACATGTCCATGACAATATTGAAAGTTACTTTCCTGAATTTTAAAAAGCCTGAGCCCTTTCAAGGCGCTTTTAAACATAGAGTATACACGATTCTTAGTTAATTACCATATATTTGTAGCTCGACCCTCATGTGAGCTAAAGTTCTTGGATTGAATTAGACTTCATCAGTTTCAGAGAGAGACTTCTCAGAACCAGAGATTTTGGTTATGTCACGTTAAAATTTACTTGATCTTCCCATAAAGCTCTTTTAACATTTAAAAATTTTATTTTGATGCCCGTTCTTTAGACTCTGTTGGCGAGGACTGATCGCCCTCCGTTTCCCCTGTAACCATATGAAATTTCTCCGCCTTCCCCCCCCCCCCCTCCCTTAGGTGATAAATAAATACTGGTCCCTAAAGGCCTGGCACAAGAATGAATACTCTTGAGCTCAGTGTTACATTTCCAAACCACTCTAGTGAAACAGTGTTTTAAGTGGTTCTTTATTGAATTTTCTCCTCTAAAAGAGGAGTCGAAGTACCCTCTCTTATAGTCAATTCAAAAATGGCAAACTTACTGAGGTGTTTTTTTTTCTCGATTTGTTTTCCAGTTGCTTGTAACCTTCCTCTAGAACTAACATCAGTGAAAACGCATTCCTTTCACAATTGGAACACTATTCCCATTTATGCTAAGATAAATGGCACTGGCGGGTACAGAGCTGAAGAAACGGATGAGCTAGAAAACAAGTTTGTTTGGGTAACGTTCGACACAGAGACAGTAGTAACTGGAGTGGCCATGCAAGGGTTTGGTGATCCTGAGATAAAAGAGTGGGTTGAAAAGTATTACGTGAGTTTCATGCGTCAAAGCAGTTCGGAAAAGTTCTTCGTTGACAGCAATGGGAGACCCAAGGTAATGGGCGTGATGGCAACACAAAATAAGCAGTGAAATTACTTAAGAAAGGAGTTGAGAGTTTTACAGTTATTTACTGAAAGGACACCTAATATCACGACTGAAAGGGAGATGGTTCTAATTTTAAAAGTGGATATATGTCCAATCTTACAATATTAATGAAAAAATACGAAGAACGTAGAGTTCTGAAGCCCTTATTTTCTAATCAATTGTCCTTTGGGAAAATAAAACTCCTTACAACCTAACATCAATGTGATTATTCTTCATACTGTTCCCCATACATTTCCTAGGGTGCTGACATGGAGAATTTGTTAAAAAAAAAAAAAAAAAAAAGGTTCTTTAGTTGGTGACCATTTCCTGTACTCTCATGACCTCAATGTTTGATTCAGGGGGGATATTGTAGGAAGAAGTTGGATGCTGATCAATTTAAAGGGTCAAAGGATTAAAGAAGAACTCGCATTGAAAAATTCAATATTTGCATTCGAAGATGCTAGTGAAATGGTGGAATATTTTTCCAATAAGCTCCAAAGAGGTTTCGTAAACAGCTGTGAAAACCTGTAAAAACGTTGCAAAGAGGATGCAAACATGTGAAAACCTCGCAAAGAGAATGTAAGGTAGCTCCCATTCACCTGCCTTAAAATTTTATTCTCCTAAAATGTTTGTCTTTTTACTTAAATATCTGATGTATTCTATTTTGCATTGTAGTTGTTTCAAGGAAACAATGACTCAAATACGATTGTGAGAAACAACTTTGCACCTGAAAACGTAGAGATCATCTATATCGAGCCACGTGCATACCACATCAATGTTGCCTTCAGATTTGAACTCTACGGATGCATAATGAGTAAGTGGAATGACGTTCTTACAACAGATACCTCACTCAAATTAACATGGCATGAAAAGTTAGAAAATATCAATCTCAAAAAATAAGAGATTAGTTAGAAACTAGGCAGGTAGTGACAATACCACTTTTCTCGTCCCTTTATGTCAAATGTATGCACAGAACAGAATATTGCTTGGTTACTACTTCACCAACCTTCCCTTAGCGTTCATCGTCCTTTCTCCAAATTAAAAACAAAAAACAACACAACCCCAGCACAACCCCAAAAGCCTGTCCCAGGACAATCGCCAATGGCCCACTGTGGTTCACCAAGCTTTTTTTCCTGTTGCTCATAAAGATTGTGTTTAATTCTTTTTCTGTTAATTTTTCATCCACAGAGAGGTCTGTGGAGCTACACTTCCGGTGGAGAGATGAACATTGCACTTTGGAAATGCTCATAGACAAAAAATCCGACGGGTTTAAAGTCATCGAAACGAAGCTAGAGAGCGAGGTATCACTTTTCAGTTAAGAAAAGATGCATGTATGTTATGGTAGGTTTTTTCAGCTGAATTTGATGCTGCTGGTGATGATCATGATGAAGTTTCCGTTTTTTATATCCCTTATGTTTATTTGTGTTATTGTTGCTGTTTATTTTTTACTTACTAACGTTGATAAGTAAATTGTTGAGTTAATTTCACTCCAGCCGTTAGAAAAGGCGTGTTTTCTATTCAGAGTACAGACTACACGTGTCTGAAGGCCTGTATGGATAAATGAACAATAAGGCCGTTATATCGTGACTGCGAAAGATTCTTATTATCTTATTTATTTACTGGTAGATGCACCAGATAAGCCGTCTCCCAGGAGTGCAAGTGGTTAAGCTTGAGAGCCTCAGGTACAGTAACGTCTCTCAACCCAAACCATAGTAAATAATTAAATCTATAGCGATGTTTATCATGCTAAAACAATCATAAGCTAAACATACAGGGTAAGACTAAATATCTTAATAGAGCCATTGATATAGCTTCAGTGATACTGTTGATTATAAAGTAAATCTTTTCCAGCACTCAATACTAAGGACGAACCCTTGTGGATTGAGAACTTGCTAAATCACTTGAATGCAGTATGATTTGACGTGTGTATGCTGAACAAAATTGCAATAGTTTCCGAAAACATTGACGAAACCTTTGCATATGATCATTTAAATCAAATTTTTTTTCCTTGTTTTAGACCTGGAAGCTTAATTGTTGGCATCAAAGTTGGTGTGCGAGATTCACAAGTTAAACAGATGATTGTGGGAGCAAAACAACTCTTAAAAAACTTTACCAAATTTGACTCTAGCTTCTTTGCTGTAAAGGACCCTAAAGGTACTATTTAATTCAATTTCCACAAGTAACGACTAATCATAGGCTTTTTTTATAATGATAGTTTGATAGGACTGATAGCTCTACCACAGCAGACAGAAAAGCAAAAATAGAGAAATCATGGATCACTTTCAACACGCACTTATAGAAAATGGGTGGAATTGAGTGCATGATTTACCAATACCATGTTCAGTTGTGTGAAATGATTTAACGCTCAGAATTTGCTCGAACACTTGTGCAAACTTCGCGGAGCGCCTCAGGCATTTTAACTAATAGCTAGGATAGTTAAGTCTATCACAGTGCGCAGAAAAGCAAACCTAAACTTTAAAAAAAAACATGCACTTGAAAAACTATCTAAATCAGAGCTGTTAGTAAGAACCGGTGGCAAAACCAAATGGCTTGCTCGTTAGCCAGCCACTTTGACCTCATTTTACCAAGGGTATTGATGAAAGGTCTAACAGTTAAAGTTTGTATGGCAACCGTTTTCCAGTTTTGGCTGGAGTTGCCCTCATGATTTATCAGTAAAATGTTTAGATTTGTGAAACGATTCAACGCTTAGTATTTATTAGAAGATTCGTACGAGCTTCGTGCAGCAGCGCCTCAAGAAAATTTTTCGGAATATTTCCCCGTCTTGTGTGTAGATTGACATAAAAACTTCACGTTCACAACCTGGCCACCTACCATTTCATATTTGCCTTCTACCATCAATTCTATCTACTACCCTGTCTAAAAGCGATCGGTATTCAGTTTCTCAATAATAAAATGGTAAATTATTTATGTGATTAATCAATGGTTACCTTTTTTCATCGGGCAGGGTCGTCCTTCTGCACAATGCCAAACATTTCTCTATCAAACCTTTCTCATGACCATGACAAAACTCTGAAGATCAATCGCTCAGCCTCCTACATAGTAAGAGCATTTATCAATAGCGAAACTCAACAAAAGGCTCTTGTTACTTGGAAAATTGCACAATTACAGAACTCTCGACGGAAAAATGTGGACAGGAAAAATGCTTTTAAATCAACAAGTATTTCCATGGAGGAAACTGTACTTGGAAATACAACGATTATACAGAAGGAAATATCAAAACACACTCTTCAGTATGGTGTATACTACATTGAGGTTCTGGTAAATGCTACTGGTTGTATGAACTACAATTATGGATTCCTGCGAGTTACTGAAACACCTCTACATGTGGCTGTGTCAACAAAACCTCCACTGGATAATATTCTTAAAGGATACCACAGGTATCTTGAATTTAATGCATCAAATTCTTTTGACCCTGATGTGCAAAAGAAAGAACAGAGTGGCTTAACGTTTACATGGCTTTGTGCAAGAAAAAATGAGACCTTTGGAAATACTGCAACACTCCCAGTTGTTGTTCCACATAACAGTGGAAACAGATTAAATGTAAAAGGGTGTTATGGAAGTGGACCCGGCAAACTGAATTTCACAGGCGCACATGCAAAGTTACTCTTAGACCAAATGGAGCCCAATAAAAGTTATATCATCCAGTTAATTGTGGAAAAAGATTCGAGAAAGGAGAATGTTTCCTATGAATTTGAGTTAAAAAGTGGAAATAGCTTCCATCTAGAAATCAGGTAAGGAGGTTTTCCTAAGGTATAAATCTTTCTCATTCTATTTTCTCACTCTGTTACTGTCGCTTCTAGCCACTTTTTGAGAGGTTCATAAGCACACTTCTCGGCTAATACGTCACAAATCTATAAGCCTTTGGGACTCTGCAAACAAAGGAGCTATCCAGGACAAACTGTTCTAAAAATACACTGAAAGTAATCTTCTGAAAATGTTTAGATTTCTGATTCAAAACTAATTGAGTCCAGGCCCCGATTGTTCGAAGGTTGGATAACACTATCCACTGGATAAAACTCTATCATTTATCCGCTGGATAGCGATTTATCCGTTGGATAGCGTTATCCGCCCTTTTTACAACTGGGCCCAGGTTAATAGTTCCTAGGATCATTGAATGTAGTTTTAGCTGTAGCCGTTAAAAATTTTAGAATGTAGTATAATTTTATAATTGTTATGGCATATACTTTATTTTTGTGAAACTTAAATTTCTTTGATCAAAACACGACCATATCATGGTATATCTGAGTGGTTATGGTCATGTGATATTATCATCACTGAAAGAAACCTGTTAACATCAATGAAGAATGCTCAGGAACATCTTACTGTTACACTGTTGTACTGTTTTGAACCTTCACCTATAGCGAGGCAGATTTTTTCCTTCAACTATGTACACATACACAATAAAAATACATTGTTCGTTGTAGCAGAATAATATATTTATTGTAGACCGATCTAGCTCGATCGCGTCTGTCGAATTCCGCACACACAGAAATTGAAGGGTAAAAATTCAACAAAAATTATCCACGCCGTCAAAAAGAAAATTCCTCAATTTCCTAACCACCCAATGTCATGCATACAGCGCTCCATGATTATAACCCATAAGAAGAAAACATAGACTTACCTGAGCCATGGCATGTCGGCCATTTTGTTTTTTTCCGCCAGCCTTTGTGGCCCTCCTCAATCCTTTGCTCGTGTGAAATCCCTTAATTGTAACGCTTTTGTTCCTCTTGCAGATGCAAAAGAAATTGTAAACAAAAAGTCAATCCTGCAGAGAAAATATCTTTCGAAGGATTTTGCGACGGCGATTCCTGCAAGCAAAATAACACGTACTTTCGCTGGTCACTTTTCGTAAAAACTGACATTGGAGAATTTCAGCCAGTTATAATACAAAATAATGAAGACCGTTCGCTGCTGGAAATTGATATGCATGTGTTAGAAGAAGGCAAAAAATATGAATTACAACTTCGAGGAAATCTTACTGAGAAAATTAGAAGTTCTGCGACTTATCCTTTCACAACAAACCAGTCCCCTCGAGGAGGAAACTGCACTGTTGATCGATTCACTGGTCAAGTTTTGGTGACAAATTTTACATTTTCCTGTTTCGGTTGGCTGGATGAGGACAAGGACTTGATTTATCAATTTGGGTACAAGTCGAGTAGCGGGGTGTATGAAATACTTCAGGAGAGCCCTTCGCCTTATTTAAAGACTAACAAGCTTCCTCTTGGCGACTCCGAAAAAGAAAATATGTTCTGGTTGGATATCTATGTCAAAGACCAATGGGGGGGATTTGGGTCCAAAACTGTAAAGGTTAAGGTGAGTTCAAATGTAACGCCAGGCGGTAATTTTACGATATTAGCCGCCATTACGAGAGCGTGACACGATGTTCCAGGCAAAATGTAACGCAATCTTAGCGCCCATAGAAACCATTTAGAAAACGAAATGTAGTTTGGATCGCAGGAATTTTCGTGATTGAAGCAATTTATTTAAGGCTTAATAAGATTGTTATTTGCTTATGATAACGTGCTCTTGTGCACGACCTCTACATACATCTTACATGAACAATTATTTCAATTAAGATATCTCTATACACGTAATTTTTCCTTTCGAAGATTCTCTCGAGTCGGACAATAAATGCAACGACCCTGTATCGATACACCATGGGAAATAATAGTGAGATGGCTAAATTACTAGAAAGCGAAGATGGTGGCAAGGATGCCATGCGGCTGGCAAACACCTTACTGTCTGTGATGTCCGCAACTACCGACAAAGAAGTGAAAAAAGAGGACAAAATTAAGGTAGAAGTTTCGTTACCTTAAATTGGCAGAAAGTGCCCCATCAAAAAGAAATGTTGCACTGGTAGTGATTCATCGCATCGATAACTAAATAAAGGCCACGGCTCAAACATTGACATGAATGAATTACTTATTCAAAAACCGTCTTAAGAAGCATAAAGGCTTAACCCCCCCCCCCCTCCCCTCCAGCATTGATATTCGTATTCTACACGTTGTTCTTTTAACACTTCCTCTGTTACTGACAAGGATTATTTGCTTGACAACAAGGAGCTCCTTAATTGGTTATCATTTTCAATATTTTCATTGCTTTAATGTTTGATCCAAGGCTGATAGGAGAAAGTAGATATTTGTCACTCTTAGGCGTCGAAGGGTTAACCTCGTTTTAGAAATCTTTGAATGGTTGTAAGAGCTCGAAACCATTTTATTGGTAGAGCTACAGAAAGTAAGAGAAGGCAATTTAAAAATGACGGGAAGATAACAGCAACGTTTGACTGAAAAGCATATGCCAGAGCTCCTATGTAAATTTGGCTTTTATTTATAGTAATGTGAAATGTCGCTTTTTAGTTCAAGGACGAAATGATCAAACATTCATCAAAAGTCAAAGTAAATGACCTGCAGGGAATTATTCTTGTGACTTCAGTTGTGGCCAGTGCGACTGACAAAAGTGAAGAACTCTCGGAGAAATCTCAGGTAGGTAAATTGCATTTATGTGTAAAGCACCAAAGAAAGATATTTTTGAAAGTCTCGTATGGATAAAAGCCAAGATTTTTTTTCACGATACAAAATCCGCCATTTGAAAGGATGCAGCCAAAAGTAATAGTAACCTCAAAACTTTAGTCTACAAACCAAAGCAGTCTCATTGACCACCATAGACTGAGCCTTTTCAAGGTCCCTGGTGAAGGATGTGATATTCTTTTTCATAAGTTTAGGAGTTATTAACTTTGTATTATTACACCACGAATGTCCTGAACGAAATTAGCATCTCATTGACCTTTTTTTTTTTTTTTACTGTAGTGGACTTCGGTGGATGTTTTGGAAAGAATGACAAACAAGTTTCAAAACATTACCGTTGAAGGAAGTGACAAAGATCCCACCGGCATCGAGAAGGCAGGAAACAATCTGTTGGTGGGGATTGGCAACGTGCTTGATGCAAATGCCGTGAAAGCTGACACCAACAACAAGAAAGACGAAACTAGCGAAGAAAGCAGCAAAGTTAACTTAACAAAGGTCACTAATTTTTACTCTCGTTTTATAATCACATTATCCGTCGATCAATTTGCAGCTGCAACATTCCCCACCAGGCAATTCCCCCGAGCATTTGAACCTTTGAACGATTCTCTGTGTGATCAATGAATGTTGTAGAATTTAGCAAAGTCACGTATTAGTTTTTGGTACCGTTGTTTGGTTCTTAGTATTATTCTACGATGTGGAAATTTCCCTCTAAGCCATTTCTCTTTACCTCTAAACTCCTCCATATTTGATAATGAAACACGTGTATTCCGCCGTGGTTCAAACTATCCCCTCCCCCACCCAGGCAAGGATCAAATTTCACACACCAGGTACACGGACGGCGGCCAAATGCCCGCGGGTTGTCTATTGGGGATGTTAAAACTTCGAATTGATTAGTGCATTTGCGTGATTATTTGAGCAAACCTTCCATCTGTTTACTGGCGTAATAACCCACTTAAGATGTTGGTAGCACTTGAGAAAAGTTTGTAATCACGAGCCGGAGGCTATGGGCTTACTAGTGCAATAGATGACAGGTTTTTGACCAATCAGGGCACTCGTAGTATCTCAGTCGTCAAGATAAATGATCGTAAATTCGCAAAATGTGGAATCTGCGCTTGACAAAAGAGGGACAAGAGAGTCAGGTTTCATTCAAGTTTCCTGACACCCTCAGCATTGTTGAGTGTTCACATCTTTCCCATTATACAGACAAAAGTTCTTGCCGAAAAAGCCTTCATACTGATTACCAAAGTCGGAGACAGCATGTTATCATCAAGAGAAGTCGATGATGAACCCGTTGAAATTGAGACCAAGGCGATATTCATGAGGTTAAACAGACAGACTCCAGGATCAATCAGTGACAAACCCACCAAGATAAAGGACAGCAAAGTGACATTCCCTCCGTCTGAGGAGCTGTTGGGTCCCCAAGCACAGGAAACGAAATACGTGGACACACAGGTAAGAATTTACAATGGCAAAGGAGTAAGGTATACAGACGAAAAGATGAAGTCGCAGACAGACAAACCGAAACCATCCTCTGGAATATAGGAAATTAACTCATGACTGACCGGCCTACTCCCCCACTCCCACCGCCAGGTCAGTTGCCCCACTTGCCTAGCTGCCAACCTTTCTCACCAACTGAGCTACGAATTCACCATTCAACCAACTTACTGGGTGACTGACTGACAATGATTTTCACTGACAAGTTTTAACTTTCATTTTTTCCCAGATGCTCTCTTTAAAGCATAATCCCTTTTCGTGGGACAAAAGCGCCAAGCTTGTGAAGTCAGCTGTGATCAGCATAGACCTTAAGAACGATAAAGGAGAGGTTCTTGAAGTCTCGGAACTGTCTCAAGAAATCGAGCTTTACATCAAAACAGATAGACCACAGACACCGCAGGTTCCTTTGCACTCTTTTGTGAAACCAAGTGTTAATGGAAGTATGCGAAACCACAGAGTTGTCATTTCCGAAGAGGGAATGGTAGTAAGCGTCAAGGCGGTTCCATCAAACGGATCAAAACTACAAGTTTATTTTCGCTATCTTCGCCGACCGACAATATCAAACTACGATTTCATGGCTGAGGTCCCAGATTTCACCTCATGTAAAAGACATGCCAAAGGATTTACGAACAACTCGAGCAATGAAATGCTCAGTGGGTATTTTAACTGCACCAAGGATCCTTACGTACTGACGCTTTCCAGTGACGTCACCAGTCACATCGGTTTACATTACATTGGAATTCGTCTGCCTGGCTCCGATGACTTTTCAAAGGAAATTAAACGCAGGCGGAGATCTTGCTCTGAAAACGGAAGACACAGGAGGTCGGAAATGTGTGTGGAGTTTAAGGATCCCCCGACAACTCCTCCCCCGACCCCCAGGGTGATTGTTCCGGAGTATGATCCCAGTACTGATGTAAACTACACATTGTCAATCTCCATGGGAGCATGTTTGTATTGGTCCGAAGCTAAAGAGAAATGGACATCATACGGCTGCAGAGTGAGTGAAATTCATTATTTTCAATAGCTACACTTTTTTTAGTGATTAGTTTTTTGGTGGGTTTGCCTTTTCTAGCTTTGCGACATCTCCTTACATACGCTTAAAACATGGCCGAAAATCATAAGTTTAAACAGGTAGCCAGAAAAAAATGTCATAGGATAAGCAGTGGAGGTGACGAGTCTTACTAAAATTGACTCAATGGTACCCAAAATAAGCCAAAGAAAGGTTCCTGAAAAATCGAATATCGTCGAAACGTTACCATAAAACCGTGGGTGAGCCTAACTTAACCTAATACTTATCTCATAGCAGCGCAGGTGATATTTTTGGTATCGTGTTTATCTTTGTTTCCGAGCAACTGATGCAAAATCCTTTGACTCGAAGTCTGGGCCTCGCTAGAGAATATACAAAGATTGCAGAATCCGCGCACGCCTTAGAAAGAATTGAAATTGTAATTTCCATCATCTTTTTTTACTCTTTTTACCTTCAATCAAGGTCGGGCCAAAGCCAGTCAATGGTTCTGTTCAGTGCCTCTGCACACATCTCTCTGCGTTCGGCGGTGACTTTTTGGTTGCTCCCAATCCTATCGACTTTGACCAAGTGTGGGACGCGTTCAGTAACATCTTAGAGACAAAAAACTTTGTAGTGCTTGGTACAGTATGTGCAATGCTTGGAATTTACTTAATTGTGGTGGTTTTTGCACGGCGGGCGGATCAAAGTGACAGGCAGAAGGTAAGGAAACGTCGTTAAATGTACAATAGAAAACCTTTTCATTCCCAAGACAGAATTTCTCCTCAGTGCGGTGCTGCATCGGTGGGAGAGTATAACAGGATAACTTACTATTATCATTTGACCTGATAACATGGATTGGCCACCGTAAACAATTTCAAAGCTGACGTTTCGAGCGTTAGCTCTTCGTTGGAGCTCTGATGAAGGGCTTCGACGAAGGGCTAACGCTCGAAACGTCAGCTTTGAAACTCTTTACGGTGGCCAATCAAATTTATCAACGCAGTTGACATACCAAATTACCCTGTTACGTCTTACAGTTCGCTCTGTGATTAGAACGTATAGTTTTAACTTACTCATGATAATTGGTCCATCCATTCAATTCTCTTTGTGTCCCCGAGCGCACAAGACCATTGACCATTATCTCTTTGATACACTTTACTTATGCATAAGTAAAGTGTATCAAAGAGAGAGCTGATGTTCTTTGTTTAACTTTTAGGTAACCCAGGTGATTCCTTTAGGAGACGTTTATCCCAATAGCCACTGTTACGAGCTGAAAATTTACACTGGTTTGTGGCGGCTAAGCGGAACCTCCGCTAATGTGGCCGTCATGATTTACGGAGACATAGACACAGATGTAATCCCGCTGAACTGCAGCACCATGTGCAACAAAAAGCTGTTTGCTCGGGGAAGTGTTAACACATTTATATTGTCGCTAAAGGAATCGTTGGGTGATATATCACATATCAAAATCTGGCACGATAACTCTGGAGAAAATCCTCAATGGTTCGTCAACAAAATCGTCATCCGGGATGCGACTTCGGATACCACATGGCATTTTTTGTGTAACCGCTGGATAGCAGCCGAAAGGGAAGATGGTAAAATCGAGCGCGTCTTCTACGCGTCGTCCACTAAGGAAGTCAACAGTTTTAAGAACAAGTTTTACAGTCGGGTGTCTATGGGGCTTGGTGACGGGCATGTGTGGCTGTCGGTTATCACCAGACCCCCGACGAGTTCATTTACGCGCGTTCAGCGTGTGTCGTGTTGCTTATCCGTGTTGATGTCTGCAATGGTTACGAATGCCATGTTTTATCAGTTTGGCGCTATGGATACCGACAACGCTTTTCACTTTGGGCCGTTCGTATTAAGCTGGCGACAGATCATTATCGGTTTACAAAGTGCTGTCTTGGTTGTTCCTGTGAACGTGTTGATCGTGTTTCTGTTCCGCAACAGCAGACGTAGACAAGAGGTGACTCAAGCCTTCAACACAAACAGTGACAACTTCACGGTGGACGAAACGCACAGAACAGGCTGCTTCTTGTCGCGATTCTTTGTTTATATCGCCTGGGCACTATGCATTTTGACTTCTCTAACTTCAGCTGCTTTCACTGTCTTCTACAGCATGATGTGGGGCACTGAAGTGTCTAACAAATGGTTAACTTCCATCTTGGTGTCTTTCACCCAAGACATTCTGTTTATTCAACCAATCAAGGTAGTAATTGTAGCTTCATTGTTGGCGTTACTCATCAAGAAGGCGCCGGAGGATGAGAGCGATAAAGAAAACGAGAAGTCAGTGGCGCAGTCTATAGTTAAGGTATGTTGATTAACATAGCGTCGGAGAAGATATCTCCAAAAACGAAATTCATACAAGTAACATGTAAGGGAAACCTGACGAAATGCCAGGGAGCAGGGTCCTGTCGAGTTGGAGGGAGAGGAGGGTCTCTCTGATATAACTCTTAATTCTATTTTCGTTCTTTCTCATTAGGGGGAATCCCATAAACCACTGAAACCCGACAACCAGCAGCTAGAAAAGTTTCGGGAGTACCGCTTACGAGTGATGGTGATGGCGCGAGTTCTCATTGAATTGGCTTTCTACTTGATCTTTGCCTGGGCACTGATGACGATATCTTACGGTAGGAGAGACACTGGGCACTATTGGATGACAAAGGGAATTGATGACCTGTTGCCGAAATTTGACAGGGTAAACCTTTATTTTCAACACTTCTTTTAAACTTGAGCAAACACCCCTTTAAAATGAAAACTGAGAATAAACTCAAGAGTCTCATCAGCTAAAGATGCGAGAAGTGTCTTTTTAATTGAGATTTTTGTTGATATCATTTTTTGAGTGTCAATGCTTAACACACATCTATCTTGAGTTTAAACACGGCTGCGAACAAGAGAAGTTTTCGGAACCGGTCATTACCGGAAAGTTCAAAACACGGGCCCCAGGTCTGACGGTAAAAGGAGAAAACATTTAAAGACCACGCAGATGAAAAACCTTAACAAGTGATTTGTTTCCTCAAAGGTCCGGGATACTAACACTTTTTGGGCGTGGACCCAGAAATACCTGGTTCCCGCTGTGTATGACGTAAAGTGGTACAACGGACAGCCCTTCGAGTACAAAGAAGGATTTATGTCAGACATGTCCGGATACTTAGTTGGTATGCCCCGCTTTAGGCAGCTCAGGGTGAAACAAGGTAGGAAATATTCCTGTATTATTATTATGGAAAACCAGCGAACATTTTACAACTCGGTCGAAACGTACTTTAAGATAAATTAAGATAGGGCTAGCTTATTTGTTGGAATAACTCGTGAATGTTGTTCGTTTATTTGCCTACCGACTAGGAATGTTGCTCGTCTAACTATACTTAGTAACCAGCTGTATGTGTAACTAGTCCTTTGCTTTGGGTAATGAGAGACAAGTGTCTCGCTTTTCAGTTTAAATGACTGGCCATGAGTCAACAAACTGCTATTTAAAATTCATGTAGTACTAAGGTAAATTTAAAACAAAACGGTGAGAATAATTATTCACAAAAGACTTCGGGCCCATGGTTCTGTACTTTTCACACAAAATATTGCATTAATTGGTTTGATTACCATTTTACTCCAGGCCCATGTCCTATTTCACCTCGGTATTCCGAGTTCAGAGAGACACTGCACCCTTGTCTGCCACCTTATAGTGGGGACAGTGAGGACCAAACCCTTTACAGTATGCCACAATGGCGGAAAATTCCAACCAATGAAACGGTGTTGCTTTCGGAATTTGCACTGCGTCGGATGTGCCCGAGACCTTGGCGTTACAAAACGTCGGAAGAGCTGCAGAGTCTTCCACTTCAAGGTCTACGAGCACTTTACGGAGGAGGTGGATTCGTAGCAGATCTCGGCTACACAAAGGCATCTGCCCTGAGGGTCATAACAAACTTGCAGAATAATTCATGGATTGATGAAAAAACGCGTGCGGTTCTTATCGAGTTTATGGTTTTTGACTCGTCCACAAATCTTTTCAGCGCTGTCTCTTACATTTATGAGGCTCTGCCCTTGGGTGGTGCAGCTACGTTTAAGAGAATCAACACAATGTCACTGTACGGTGCGACGGGAAAGCGTTCTTTTAGCGCGGTGTGCGAGCTAATAGTACTTCTCATGGTGTTCTACTTTATCACTGCTGAGGCAGTAAAAATCTGGAAGGAAAAATGCTCCTATTTCAAGTCCGCATGGGCTTATGTGGAGATGGCACAGATTTTGTCCGCAATTGCCACAGTTGTGCTTTCCATTTTCCAAAGGTACTATACAACGAAGCTGGTGAACAGAATTCACGCAAATCCCTTTGAAACTTCAAGCTTTCACTACACTGTGATGTGGTCAGATCTTGAAAATGCGCTTATAGCCGTCCTAGTATTCATTTTGACCATAAAAGTTCTCAAGATCTTACAATTTAACGAGCACATTTCTAGTTTGGCGGCAAGCATGGTACGCTGCCGCGCCAAAATCGTTTCCTACTCGGCTGTCTTTATGGTGGCATTCCTAGCCTTCATGCAAGTCGCACTTCTCGTCTTCGGTAGCACAACGAAAGTGTACTCAAGTGTTTCCGAAGTCTTCCGAACTCAGTTCGGATTGTTTATCGGAGGAGACACGGACTACCAAGATCTTAAGTCGGCCAATCGGATTATTGGACCAATCTACTTCTTTCTGTTCATGACCACCATGGCTTCTATACTTATAAACATGTTTCTGGCGATCCTGAATGAATCATACCGAGAAGTGAGAGTTTACCCCGATCGAGAGCACGAAGAGGCTGAAATGCTGAGGGTGTTTTTGGACTATGCTAAGAAAAAAGTGAGCAAAAAGCTGACTTCGTTTCAGGATACAAAATTTCTTCCAAGGAGAGACAGCTACAGCGTTCAAAATCAACACTCACAATACAAGAAAAAGTTTGAAGAAGACTGTAAGTACACACCGATAAACTGGAGCAACTGCGACTCTATCAGCGAGAAAGGTCTGATAAGTAACGATAATGTTACTGAGAGTTCGTTTCTCGAAGATATTAAAAAACGCTTGAGAAATATCAGCAGCGAGCTGAGAGACATTTCTATCTTGCATCGCTCGCGAAGGTACAAAGTCTATGAAGTTCAAAAAAAGTATGGCATCCAGGGTCAGAAGTTTGACGAAGACTTGCGAGTGCCCTGCAGGGGACTGGGAATAGAAAAAGTGTCCAGTAAATGCAGCTTATTTAGTTTGAGTGAAAGCACAATGTACATTGACAGACTACGTAAGGGTCGTGACTCAGTGAGAAAGTTGCTAGGCAACGAAGACTCCTCCGATGTCGAAGATACCGCGTGGGACGATGGGACGTCTTACGCTGAGTCTATGACAACCTTCTTTGGCGGTTCTGGGACTATTTATGACATGGATAGAGAGCCTTTCAGAGACTCGGACGCTAGTGATTTTCAGGATAGAGAAAGCTACATTTAGACTTACAGATCGAAGGATCGATTGTACATACCTAGGATGTCGTCCTTTAGAGTAAAGGGAAGCTATATATTCGGATCAAGAGTGAATCAAGCGGAGACTGAATCCCTCGTATATGCTTTATTCTCTCTCAACAATTTTTAGACTTGCGCTAGTGTTCGCACCTATGCAAGTCGTTAAAAAAATATCCTTTTTAAAAGTGCAGGTTAACTGTACCCATACAAACCACTGCTCGATTTTATTATCTACTAAGAGGTTATACGCTTATGTTTACTATGTGAAAATCGATTTGAGAACTTCAATGAGCAGGAGGTATGGATAAGCAAGTTTGTACATATTTTCCGATAATTAGGGAGTTGCCTGTCAAAGAACTCTTTAATAACGTTAACAGGTCGGCCTAACTGTTATCCTAATTAGACAAATTGGCCTTCTGACCTCGACAGCATGCTACTGAAACGGTAGAATTTTCATTGAAAAGCGAGCGCGAGAAGTCTAGGAAGGGTCATTTGAGTGCACTGAAAAGAATAGTATTTATGTCGGCCATTGTGACAGATGTCTATTACAATGAAACGAGTGGTGACTCACTCAAGGTGTGAGAAGGATAGGTATCCTGGAAATGTCCTTTTTTAAAAATAGCTTTACAAATTCAATAATTATATAAGTATTTTTATAGCTTTGTTTCAATGATATAGCTTTATGCTGACTTGATCCCAGGGTAATTGTTGCACTAAATCGTTTTTGTTAGAAAATGATTTAGCTGAACGTTCTTGGTATCCAAAGTTGAATCTGTAAAATAATTTACTATAATTACTATATACTAAGACGGACAGTCTAGTTATCATGCATGAGGCGGACGCAAAGAACAGTGCCGAGAACAACTGCGTAGGTCTTTGATTATAGGAAATTTGATGTTAAATTTATGTCAGAGGCAGAAATGTAAATAAAAGATTTAAACGTCGAAGATATCCGGGGTGTTTTCATCATCGAGTACATGATAACGCTGATATTTGTCAGAAAAACAAGTTTTTCATTCTTAGTTTAAGACTGTGTGACTGCCACAGACTTAAAATTGTTTTGTTTCGGTACACTTTTCCTAAAACCTGCACAGTAGAGTTTCTTTAAAGGCCGTTTGAGTTATTTTCTAGCTTATTTGCAACTCACATTTCAGTCTTCCGTTAACAATTTACACCCTGGCATCAGTATGCATATTCATACTGTTCTCTTTGTATTTCTTGTGGTAGTAGAGCTTCTTCAAAATCAAAGGCTTCTCTGGTGGGTGATCATTTCCTTATTCTCATGACTTTAATGTTTGAATCAACAGTGATACTGCTGGGAGAAATTAGGAGCCAATCACTCTTGGGATTAAAGGGTAAAAAGATCGCGGCTGGTTGCATAGGGGTCGCATCCTGATCTCGGGTAAATAGCGGCGCATTTGTCATTTTACCGCGACCGATGACAAAGGAAAGCCACAACTTCTTCCGGGCAGGGTTGGAGCTCCTACCAAATTAACAACCAATCACTGAATTAAAAGTTTGCCATGACAGTTATCCGCAGAAGAAATAAGCTAGTTTTCTTTCGCTAAAGCACATACAACAAAGATGAAAGTGCTCATGTTTTGTGATTTATTTTGCCCTCAAGGCCTTTTATTATTTCCTTTCCTCCTTATTTTCCTTTCCTCTTTAAGGCAAGACCCTGTAGAACTCACTGTGCGGAAATGTGCTTCCATTTAATTACGAAGTAATTTGTCAAAGACCAAAGATACGACTTTTTCATGTCGACTTCAGGCAAAAAGACTTGGAAACATCGCAAATCTACAACTAAATTCTTCTCAGCCCTTGAGATAAAAAACAACAACAACAATCAAAATGGTGCAGAGAACTTGACACAACTCGTCTCCAGTAGCATCGTGGAAAGCCCCGGGCATATTCTCCGATATCATCGGCTGCCCCTCAATGTTCTGATCCAAAACACTCCAGATTTTCCCTCTTTGTTTTCACTAAAAGAACTTAACCCAATTGCATGACGGTTAGAAATCTCAAAGCAATTCTGATCTTTTGCTTCTAATATCATTCCCACATCAGGGAAAAGTTCGTGCGCAATTGCAGGAAAAAAATCTTAAATCGTTTTCGAACTTTAGTCTATGCTCATCTGAAAACGAGCACTGCAGAGTTCTTCGAAAGTCGTGACATCATCGGGCCACATATCTCTGATTAAAAGCTCGCGCTAAACAAATATTTTGTCTCCGACGTACACCGTCAACTTAACCAGAGTTTGAGGTTGAACAGCGCAAAACACCCCTCAATTTCAACGAGCCAATTAATTCACTTTCGGAGATGAATCTTCTTATAGTTGTTGTCTTCCGCTCTTTCAACTGACTGAGTTTTATCGAGTTTTACGAGACCGCCACCTTTGCTGGGAACGCGGTTACGTACATTTCCAAACAAAGACACTAAAAAGGAGAAAAAACAAATGTTATTGAAAGTAAAGTGCCAACGATCATGTATATTCTGAGGTTATCAGTTATCTATGTGAAGTTTTTCCAACGTTTCCACCAACAATACTATCAAATGAAGCAAAATTTATTCCTCAATCTTTCTTAATCTATCGTCTTGAAGAACACTTTCAAAATAGCTCATCCCTGTGGCATCCTGGACGGTTGTCAATTAAATTATTCATCTGGCCACGGTTGTCGGAAGGGCAGCCACCCACTGGATAGATCTCTACACAGTGGATAGCAATACGTTTTGGTTACTCCTTTCCGCTGGATAGCGATTTATCCATCTGAACTGGGCTCAGGTAACAAGTCATCTGGAGCTCAGTTGCTGTAACGTGCGACAAAAAAATCGGGACTAGCAGAGGTTGGCGGAATCTTACAAAGAGGATCAGAATCTTTTTCGTCCCATACTTGTGGCAGATGTCAAAATCGTTCTTACTTCATCGATCCTTCACAACAATCCCTATTTTTCTCACTCTATCCTCACGAAATGAGCGCAGACGGATGAGGCATTTTGGTTGATTCGGTACAAAATTATCAAGCACAAATATCTTCATCTCCGACTTACCTGCAATCATCTCCCCCTGCACTTATCAGGTATCGGTCATCACATGTAAATCGCACATTAGTCACGTGAGCGGAATGGCCCACATACCGCTTGAAGGGAGCCTTAAAACAAACATACCCGAATGTTTAACAGCCTAGCTTTATAAACATTGTAATGCATTCTCTTTCAAAAACATAATGTACACAAATTTGCTTTATATTGGGGACACAAGACTCATATTGGGCGCAAGTTTTCAGGCATTGAATGGGTGGACTTAAAAAGTACTTCATCTGTTCTCAAAAAAAAAAACTGACAAGTAACGTTTGTAGACTAAGTGAGTATTTCGCACCTACAAGATCGTTAGTTTTGTATGTAAAGCCCTATTCCTATGATCAAACGAGAAAATAATGGCAGCGTACGTTTCAGTACACTTCACGTAGATCACAATGACAAAAAAAAACTTACAAATTTCTCTGAGGCAGGGAACTCAAACAGTTTCACAAAACCAAAGTCATCACCGGTGGCAAGCGAGAGACCGCTGGATGAGAGATTGGCGCAGTTGACGTCTGCTTTGTCAGCGTTACGAGGCCAAACACCAATGACCTCATTACCAAGAACACTGAAACGTCCACAGATAAGAATAAGGAAAAAATCCTTCTAAAGTGATTAAGTAACTGTGCGAAGTTTACCGCTGGAATTACTTACCTCGTCCATGAGGCCCAAGTAATTCTGTTGATTTCCTTTCTGTCCTTTAAGGGATTTCCACTTGGGACAGTGAACACTAAACGCTCATAAGCGCCCGTGGAAACCTTACGCAATAAACAAACAAAACATGAAAAGTAAATACTGATATACGTGAGACATGTTCTAACACTGCGCTACAGGAAACTGCTAACGTGTCAGATTTTAGACCATTGCGTAGAATGCCTATTGTTCTCCGGACTTTACTTGCAGTTTATAGGTCTGCCATACTACTCATTGTTAATCACAAACGCTAACAAAGAGCCCCGCCGATTGGTTGCCATGTGCGCACAACGATGCTCACGATCATGATGTAGGTCGCAAATTGAGTGATCATATCGAATTCATGTTGTCAAAAACGACCTGATCATACATCACGCGTTTTCGGTTTAATCCAGAAATAACACTTACCATTGGTACGCTCTTACTACATATGCACCAGACAAAATAATTTTCAATTTTGGAAAAAGGATTTAACTTAGCGCGACAATCATTCGTCAAACAATGTCTGCCTGATTGTAAAATTCGAGCCAAAAAGTTAATTCAAAACCTAGAAACAGCAAATCAGAAAAACTACGCAAGACTTATTTCGTCATTTTGGATGTAATCGCTACGTCGACGGTGCAATATATCAGCAAAGTGTGGTATTAATAGTAAATAGTTTAATATATCACCTGAATGAACCTGCCATCAGCAGAGAAGTCCATCTGAGTGACGAAAGAAGGGATTCCCTTACAGTAACCAGCACGTGAAAGAGGTCGTCCTTCGCGAAGCTCATAGAAGTCAACACAGCTGTCATCTGATCCAACTGCCAGGTATTTACCATCTGGACTAAATCTATCATGGTTAATAACACCATCAGTCATTTGGGAGAGGTGAAAACAACCTCATCTCAATGATGAGAACAAAACCTACAACAGCGCATGACAGTGAGAAGGTCCACGGGAACGGCAAAGAAGACCGGAAGTTAGCCGTGACATCCCTGCGAGAAGCCAACAGACACCATCATACTGGATATCCAAGGAAAGGAAATAATGGGAATTTAGCGGTAGACTGATTCCACGAGGTGGCTTTTCTTATCCGCTGTTTCCAAGTTGCATCGGAATTTTAAAACACAGGTTGATGAGACGGGTTTCAAACAAGTGATAATTAATATTATGCATACCTGTAGCACGCAAGGGTAGAAACCCGTGGCTGGTGCGGCATGGCATGGTCCCTCTTCAACAGTCAATCAAACAGAACATGAACTACACAACCTGCCAATCCGAACTCAAAGAAAAAAACTGTTGCCAGCTACGTTTAATTTCTAAGAGATCTGATTGACTTATTGTATCGTCAACGCACGGTCTGATTGACCGTTGTGAACGAGAAAAAAAATCCCATTCCACCTGGCCTGAGGTCCCGTCCTGTCCCGTCCCGTTCCGTACTCATGTGGGACATCTTAGCGACTTTATTCAAACTAACCATGTTATCAATTTGTTTACCTGATATCTTGAATAGCTTGGTGACGATCACGCTTCTGCGCCACAACCTTTAGCTCAGCGGTTTTCAATAGAGCAAAGGCGCCATTTTTCAGACCAACAGCAAGTAACTCCCCGTCAGGAGAGAAGGCCGCCGAACGAGCGGCGAAACCCAGTGAAGCCATCTTTACCATAGTCTATGAAATGCAATAGTTGTTTTTCATTTTACTTTGCTGACAACATACTGTAGAGTTTTTTGTTAACACAAATCTCCACGAATGTCTGCAGATATTTTGTCTTGTGTAAAAGTTCACGAAAAAAATTTTTGTTCTCAGTTTTCTAGGTTCTCTGATAAATGGTCAAAGCTGAACACATACAGTTCTCTAAGCGAAGGTAGTACACGTTTCCTCTAAGAATCAGAGCTAAGTTAACCCTTAAACTTCCAGTTAAAATTTGAAATTCTCCTTACTGTCAACCATGCAGTTCTCATAATGTTAGTTCAGAGAATTTAGTATTGGATCAACGAATTATCCCCAAATTGATATTTTTCTTTATTCTCACCATTCATCTGGTCGATATTGTATCGATATCGTAAGGAGAAATTCTGTCTTGGTCACTCATGGGAGTTAAAGGGTTAAGTAAAACCAAAGGTAATCCCGGATTACTTCAGACACTTTTGACATATTCTAACCATGAAACTCAATGAGAAATTAGTCAACCAATCAAAGGGCAATACCTTACTGGCCACGTCCCAAAGTCTCACTGTCTGATCATCACTTGCTGTCACAAATACTTCTCTCTCCGGATGGCAGGCTAGTCCCCAGATCTCCCCCTCACCATGACCACGGACTAGAGTCTAGGAAAAGATAAAGTTTAGAGAGTTATGTACTGCATGCAATTTGCAATGAAAAAAAGATTACATGAAGATAATGCAATGCTCGAGAGTACGAAAACACTCGAGATAACCCTGACCTGTGAGGTAGCTGCTTTCTCTGTGATTTCAATTATTTCACTGCCTTTTGTGCCAACCAGGATTTTACCCTAAAAAGGAACAATCTTTGTTCATCTCTCAGTTTACAACACTTTTCAGAAGTTGTTACAGTTGTTACAAACATAAATGCAGCAAAACAAGAGGAGTGGTAAAGATTGTGGATGTCTAATATGCTTCCGCACACATAATTCGACATATCTCTTACAATTTTCAATTACTTAAACACATCTCAAACTCAAGATGCATTAGAGTACTTAAAGGGTTGGGGCGGGGGAGCGACGGTTTTAAGTGATGTCTTCCGGCGAACAATAAACCGCTTAGCTAACCTTGCCTCTGCAGACTGACCGGACAACACAGGGACCTGGACCCAGGGATAGCGTGCGGCACCGCTTCATCTCTTGATCCCACAGTTTGATACCAACGCCTTCCTTGGTGTTCCTGTGGAGAGGCAAAAGAACGTGATACTATCAGGCCCTTTCTAACATGGCCATTCCTTGTGGAGAAGGTCAATTCTTAAAGCCAATAGAATACAGCTTTGGGCCAAGTTTTGTAAATAGGGTCAGTTAATCCTCATCCTACCGCGCAGACTATTCGCGAAACGTACAGAATGACGAGGTAGAAAAAGTTCGAGAATTTTTAAACTATTTCGTACTGAAACACCTCAATAGCAAGTGCGTACTCACGAGTAGACTTTTGCATTTTATTCACACCAGCAAGAGGAGTTTCTTCCAGTTCTACCAGTAAAGATCAATCAAAACCGCACTTGGCAATCCCTTTCAAAGGAACTTCTCAAAAATTGAACATACATGTCTCCATTGAATCCATGGATTGAAAACTCCTTGAATTTTGATATTTTCCATAATTTCCCACTTCTTATCTGCACCTTGCTCACAACAATTAATTCTGAATGTAGGAGGAATTACTATTTTATTTTTTTACCGCACCAAAAGCTGACCTCTTCTTTTCTTACCCTTTTTCCTTCCCACCACTCACTATGAGTCCATCCCTAAGTGTCGTGTGCATCGCGAACACGGGTCCATTGTGCGCTCGGCTTACCACCCTCGCGAGCTTATGACCCAGCCATACAAATACATCTCCGTTCATGGCTCCGGTAAATGTCAAGTTTTCCTGTGTAAATTCAAAGTACAAGTGCACATGTATGTGTGAAGGAATAGATTTCAACAAAACACTAGAAATAAACGTAAAAGTCGAACATGCATCATACCAAGAGAGGTAATAGCCACCTTCATATGAATGACTTTCCAACAAGAGTAAAAAAGGAAGTCTTATTATTGTTTATTATTTTTTGGTTTTGTTTTGTTTTTTTTAAGTAGTTAAGCGAGGAACGCGAAGAGAAGCGCAAGAACGAGCGAAAAGCGCTAAAGCGATTGCCCCTACCCTGGACTTCAATCTAGGTGAAAATAATTGATCAGTGAACAGACTAGATGTAGTGACAAAATGGATAACGCCTTGAAATCGGCAATTGTTGCCGGGGTCATTGTGTTACGTTCTCCAGAAGGAAACAGGACTTTCAGAGTTCCTCCCTCCACTGAAGAGTATAAAAGGGTTAACCAGCGATTAACTCGCGTCCCATCCAGAAGAAATCGACATACACCTAGTCGCTTCATGCTAAAGAAAACAGAACAACTTGAGCTCCACCAGTGTGGAATGCACTACTTTCTTACCGCTCCAAATGCAACTGACAGCATAGTCTGCATCCGTAGTTGAGAATCATCTCCTTCCCCCTGCTGGGGGGTGGTTATGACCCCCCGTTTCCCCACTAACTGCCCGCCGGCTAAAGTCCAAAATTTGACGTGTTTAACACCACACGTGACAAACTGACTATCGGAGTCAGGCCTGAACTCAGCAACGAAGATCCTGTCTGTGTGACCGTGTGAACTAGCGAGTTTGGTTCCTGTAAGATTACAAAGAAAGGGAAATGTTGAATTTAAACGTTTAAAAAAACATGACTTTTTGACGATTTTTGGCTTTGGATAATTAAGAATTGAATTCAAAACTCAAGCGTTCCTTAAATAGACCAAAGAGAAGAAGATCTAACATCTACAATAAATGCGGATATTTATACATTAGTGCAGGAAACGGCTAAGACGTAAACAGTAAAAATTAAATTCCATCTGCTTCACCTTCGCACCCACGTGACGATAAATCACTTCCGATCGTGCTAATCAAGAAACTTTTCTTGTCTCTCCAGTTCTTTACCACGAAAATACCCTAAACCTCTAGACTGGACCACTGGTGAACTAGATCTCTTTTCTACACTGATTAATCACGACTTTTTTCGGTGACAAATTTAACACTAACCTTCGGCCCATTTCCACACAGCAATGCTATGCGCAGCATCAATTCCTACAGTGACCAAAAGCTTGCCGTTGCAGCTGAAGTTCACCGCACAAACTCCCTTAGTGTGAAATCCTTGAATAACAGATAACGTATCCTTGGACACGGCATCCCATACATGCACACACGGCTCTGTACCGATCTGGCCAGTTGCTACAATGTTCTGTGTGATCACGGATTTATTAGTTAATACTTTGCATTGCAAGCAGGAGAATTACCAATTCAAGGAGAAGTCTATCATTTAATCTACCTGAAAAATCTTCTCATGATTCCCTTTCCTGCATTGAACATATCAGTGTAACGGTAGGTAAAAAAAAAAACCGCAAACTGCTTTTCATTTAAGTTACACTATGCCAGCAACATGACCTTCAAATTTCTCGAAACTTATTAAAGATAGAAAAGAAAATCTGAGTACCTTATCATATTGTTGAAAACGACTTGAAAAAGTATGGGGGAAAAAAGGTAATCTCATTGATTTTGATTGTGCATTAGCTTAAGGAAAAACAAATCCATGTTCAAGTTGGTTTACCTTATACTTAGGATGTTGATTGACAGTCAAACAGATGATGTCATCAGTATGTTCGAGGTAAAATGATTGTACACCATTAGCCGTGCTCAGTACAATCCCTGCTCCAGCAGCATGGTACACAATGTCCCCCTCAGGGAGGTAGTGTAAGTTATTTCTGGTGTCGAAACCTCGGTAACCATGAATGAATTCCAAACTAAGTTCCTGCAAACGTGAAGGGTTTTTATAAAATTAAAAGAAGCAAAACGAACGCCAAAAACTGGCGGTGCACACCAAAATTCGTGGTAGCAAACGCGCTAGACTCCGGAACGTAAGGTCGATCCTGGCTCTTTGTACCTTACGATTTGGGGATTCATAACTCTCAAAGTGCATCTCTACACCCAGGGAGGGAGGTTTTCCCTAAATAGGGGAAGGGGGGGTTGTTTTAACTTTAAATGTACAATGATGCCACCCTGGAGGAGTAGCAATACTCCTGGTCGGTTTATGCAAATGAAACCAGAACAAGGTTAAGCAGCTATGAGCCTGTAGAACCTTGCGAGTGACTGAACATAAAATGTAGATAAAACAAGGGAAACGAGTTGGCGACTTTGTGAACCGCTACATATACCATTACCTGGATGGGCTGGGTTCTTCTCTTTTTTCCCGAGTCCCTCTGCCGATCCAACTGCCTCACCTTTGGAGGAGCTTTGGAGCCCCGACTTACCGCGGGTCTAACACAGGAAAAAAAGACATACAAAAAAACATCATTAAACCAAACTGGGTACCGAAAAAAATTATATATATATATATAATTATATATTTATATATAAGAAACTGATTTGGACGAGAACCCCAGTAAAAAACTCCAGCGCTCATTTCCACATGAGTTATGGTTAGGATTTAGTTCCGGTACCAAAAAAACCTCGCTTCTGCACTGACAACTGCATTAACAAGTAAATTGGGCATAGGGAAAATTTCAAGGAAATGGTTACAAAACCCCCCATCTCGGAGAATTAGCAATACTCCAACCCCTCCATACTATAGAAGCCAGGATAATCTCTAACAGAAATGTCTCACTAGGCTCGTAATAACCGTACCCTCGCCCCGCCCCGCCCCACCCCACCCCAGATTAACAATAATCATGTACCTGTGTTCCTCGTCTTCCTGTCTATCCCTGAGGTGTGGTTTAACACCTTTTGTGGTTCGTATCGGATTTGCATAAATCTTGTCCTCGTATGTAAGATTCTTCTCTTTCTCTACGTCACTATCATAGCCTCCTTCCTCTTCCGAATCTGTGTCCGAGTCATCGCTATCGCCGCCCGTGTCCTCACTTTCATGGGCTCGAGCATGTGACCACACCATGACAGACGTGTCGGCTCCACCCACAGAGATTAAGTGGCCGTCATCGCTTGTCCAACGGACGTTTGTCACATGCGCAGAATGTCCAACATATTTTTTAAATTTAGCGTGTTTGCCCTACAAATCAAAGATCATTGTTATTAATCTTTAAATGGTTTCAGTAAAATATAACACAACCATTACAACAACCACACTGCAACGATCAAATGAAAATTCACGCCTGGCACAGGAAAGCGAATAATATGTAGGATTTGGAATTCGTTTAAAAATAATTTGACATGTTTATTGTATTGGCGGAGGGAGAAAGGGAGAGTATAATGAGAAAAGGTTCGGTTTTTTAAGTTCTACATACGATAATAAAAGTACGACGCAAGAAAATTTTTAAAGAGTTTTCTAGTGGATTGCAAATGATAAAGATAAAGGTTTTTAGATAATTAACATACCACTCCCTAGGCAGGGTTATTCTGCCATAAATACATGCATATTACATAAGTACACTAATAACTAATATTGAGAAGTTAAAAAAAGGAATAAAAATATATCACATAAAAACGTAAGAATTAGGTGCAATAAGAAAAAAATATATTACAATTGCAAAAAATTACATATATTAAAAAACGGAATGGTATATTAACTGCCCCTGGGATTAGGTGATGAGATTTACAACACCCTAAAATAACTCATCCAGGGAAGTAGCAAATCCTCTCTCTTTCGCTCACCTGCACTGGATACTCAAACAACTTCACAAACCCAAAATCATCTCCAGTGGCTAAAATCTTCTTGTCCTTTGTTAAATCGACTGAGTTCACATCAGTGATATCTGAGTGGGGCGGCCATATTCCCGAGCAATCGTCCCCAAGAACACTTGTCCAAGTGGACCAATCGATCTTCTTGGATTCACTGGAGACAATAGCTTGGCGTGTACCGCGAGGTGCCTCAAAGAACAGGCGCTCTTTAGCGCCAGAGTTTGTTTGGAGAAGCTTCCCTGAAAATTTATAGGAGTAATATTAAGTTAGTTTTTGGACTTTGCAAAACTACCTTCGACTTAAACCTCTCACGATATTTTTTCAATTCGTTAAAAAAAATGTAAGTCGACCCAGGTGGCCCACGTAAAGAGGGGCCAAATCAGCTTGGGCCTCATATGAGCATACCTTTCGAGTCCCAGTCCACATGAGTGACGTAGCTTGAGCTCCCTTTGCAGATACCAACTCGTTTGCTACTCAGCACATTATAGATGTCAACAAAGTTGTCATGTGACGCTACAGCCAAATATTTACCTTGACCTGTCATGAGAAAAACAAAAATGAAAAATGTTCACCACACTTCAACAAATGATCACCCTTCCCTTTTCCCCACAGGAAACAAACCACAACATTATCTAAGGGGAAGAGTGTAAAACGGAAGTAATGGCCGGTAAATTAGTCCTCGATCTCCTAATACTTCGATCTCAGTGGTAATTTATCATCTGTGTTTTTCGTGCTCTATTGCTGCTGCACATTCTGCAGAAGTTTTTGTTTCCAGTTTTTCTCTGCATCACAAAATGGTCTTACCAGGTGAAAACTTGATGTCTGAAATTTCTTCCTTTCTGTGGTGAAACCCGACGATGTCATCCAAGGTTGTTGAGTCGACGACTTGAAAACTACCTGAGGAGCATACAAATAATAAAGTAAACAAAAGACATCAAGCCATTATTAAAATCATGGAAGGGAGAAAAAAAAACTCAAAGGATAGAATGAGAAAAGAAAATTTCCCTTCTTTACTTTCTCTAAGCTGGGTGCGGCGGGCGATTCTGGACAGGTTTTAGACGAATTTGGTCCCGTGCCCGAATTCGAACCGGTGCGTCCATTTTTGATCAGGTTGCTAGGAGTTTTGACGATTTTGTTCGATTTAGGAAGGTTACGCTTTATTTCTAACGGGCACAAGCGCTTTCGGCTAATAACTTTTATCTAATATTAGACTGCCATTGCGCTTAAATGTGCTGATACAAAATTCGACGTACAAAAATCTCCCACTTTACGTAGAAGAAAAAACGCCCTTTCAAGGTTTCGATGCATCAGTCCATGTTACTAATAACAGTCTTGGATGGATGCATTACCCTGGTGACCAGTAAGCGCTATCAATATTCTTACCGTCTTTAAATCCAACAGCCAAGACTCTTCCATCAGGTGAATACGTTACACTCCTACCGGGCTTCGTCAGTTTACGGACATTCTTTAACCTATGGGCAGCTAGATCCCAGACTCTCACTGACATATCGTCACTGACTGTCGCACAGAGCTCCTCGGCTGGATGGGAGGCCAAGCCCCACAACTCACCTTCCAGATGACCCTAAAAGTGATCAAACAAGCAGCCAACTTATATTTAAGAAGAAAGTCAAAAAGTGAAAAAAATGAATCACAAGTTGCACATTGTCTAGAGTAATTAGGATACCACTGGCTTCACACCAATACGATCCATTTCTTAGTTCTGGATTTAACTTCGCTTAAATTAACCAGACCTGTTTATAGTATCAATAAGGACTGGTCATTATTTACCTTTATCGGGGGAGGGGGGGGAAGATTTTGGTTCTGCCACGGTAAAATTTACCTAACCCCCTAGGACTCTGCAGCATTCATATCATCTCCCCCTCCCTAGTAGTCGAGTAGCTGTCAATATTCTATAGCCCACCCTCCGACTGATCCCCCTCAATTCTCCCTGGAAACCATGTGATCCCCCCTCAAAAATTCTCCGACCCCCACCCCCCCTCCCCCCACTCTGGCGATATATAATAATTGCTCCCATATATAACTCAAAAACCAGTAGGAAATGATTAAGTACCTGGATTAGAACTGTGATAGGTCCACTCTTTTCAATTTCCATAATCTGAAATTCAAGGCAATATTTGTAAGATTCACATATTTCTTCCCATATGCCTCAAAGCATTTGGAGAGCGACCAGATTTTTACAATCTATGAGAAAATAAAGACACACGTAGAAAAAAAGCAATGGACGAGAACGAAAACAGTAACATGTCTGTCAACGCTAGAATCACTTAAGCCACAAGATTTACTCGATCAAAATTACAAATTGAATTAGAAATACCTCGCCATTTTTAGTGCCCACTAAAATTTTCCCCTGTCCAAGTGTTATTGCACGGATAGGGGGAACATCTTCCAGTAAAATTGAAGCCGGTGGACCCGGACTAAGACTTGTGCGAGTGACCTTGTAACTCTTTAAACAGCGGGAGAAATTGTCATCCCATAAGCCTACAGTACCATCTTTTCCACCGGTCACAAAACCCTGTTAAAACAAAATCAAAGGGTGTATTGATCACTGAAGACAGAAACACAAAAGCATCCGGCAACATCTAACGGTTTGGCAAACTAAAATACGTTGGATATTAGGGTTTGTAACGAATTTCTCATCATTTTACTCCCAAGATCTGACTATTAATTCTCCCATCTTGTTGCAACACATTTCCCTGTAAATTAGTTACGTGAATTTTGTATTCTCCTTATCTGTTGCTGGCTTATGTTTGGATGTTGTAGTGAGAAGTTAGGTGTTAATCACTTCTGAGAGTCGAAGAGTTAAGAGGCCTTAAGGTTCTATCGTGAGTCAACTTCCATCTGCAACAAATTAGTATTTACATCAACCTATAAGTGAATTCTCGAAATTGCTAGGATATGAATAAATAGCCACACTTTCAGTTCACAAAGCTTCATTGTTACCTTTTCTAGCACTTGCATAGCAAACACAGGTCCTTCGTGGGCCTGGACCGAGTTTTGCAGAGCATTTCCCTGCCATATGTACACTTTTCCACTGGCTCCACCAGAGTACACCAAATCAGGACTCTTTCCATAAGTGACACACATCATAGTCTCGGCTTTCCCTGCGCTGCCGAATGTTCCTCGCTTGGAAGTGAAACCGCCTCCGGTCTGTGTCCAGAACTTGATATGCTTCATGCCAGCTGTCACAAGAAGTTCTGGGTTTTGGGGATTCCATTTGATGACAAATATTTTGTCCTTGTGTCCCCTGAAGTCAAAGGTACATGAATAAGAGCTGTATAAAAAGATCTGCGAAGTAAAACAGTCTCCAAGATATCACCAACTGAGCTACGAAGCAAAACGTTGGGAACGATGTCAATTTTAGAGAGTTCATTTTTCCCGTAAAGGAGTCTGTTCACAGTTTTTTTTTTTTTTTAATATATTTCTTTACCTTGTTGTTGCTAATTTTTCTCCTTTTTTCCAGTCCCATACCACAATCACGTGGTTATCATCAAGTCCTACACTCGCTAATTTCTTCCCGTCACCTTAAAAATAAATTCAAAATGTTTTCAGAATGCTCAATCAGATTAGAAAAGAGAACATCCTCGTAAATGTCTTACCTGAAAAGTCGACAGCACAGACCCCTCTCTCGTGTTGCCCCTTAAGAATGGCCAAGGTCTCCATCTTCACAGCATCCCATACGTGGATAGCGGGGTCGCGTCCCACCTGAGATTAACAAATAAACCCGCTTATATAAAAGAAAAATAACCTCTTAGTTTCGTCGCGTCAACACTGCACAGGCTTAAATTCAGGTTGCTTAGGGTGAGACATTTTTTTCAGAAGTCAATGACATAAAATATATTTCAGGTTCTACCAAAGAATCTTAATTGCATATTTCTTTGCCTATTTTTCTACTCCCGCTAATACACAAGGTAAGACAGCGATAAATGCCATTTCACGAACGGAACGCGGAAATTCTGTGCCGGACTGTGACCCGCCCCCCTTGAATAATCTTGGCCATGCTCCTGCAGAGGCTACCTCAAACTTGGTGGATCAAGTTTGTCATTTGCCATCTGCTCAGCCCTCTCAACCCTAAATGATCCTATGAACATAACGTTAAGATAGCAAATGGCTTCACTTGAGCATGCACTTGCATTAGAGCCCCCCACCCACCCCCACATGGTCTCAAAACGCTCGGTGTCTCTGAGGTTTCCCTCAGATATCGCAACACGGTCAGCCAATCAGAGCGTAACCCTGGCCTTTCGACCCAAGCCCCCACGCATTAAAAATTACAACACCATGTTATCTTCTGAATTTGTGGCGAACGAACTCAAAGTAATTTCGAACGCACCTGCCCGGTCGCCACCACGTCTCTCACAGGGTGTATACACAAGCAGAGGATGTCGTCTGTGTGCGCATTATAAAACCTCTGCTTATGATCGTCACGGTTGTACACAATCCCAAGAGCAGCCACGTGGTACACAATCTCACCGCTCTGAGTGTAGAACAGATTATTACGGCAGTCATACCCTCGGTAACTGAGAAGAAAATAGAATAAAACTATAAGTCAACGGATAAGTTTGAACATTACTTGATTGAAGGTGAGATATCCAATCCTAAAGCAAAGATATTGACAACGGATAACGCTTTCTACATGGAAGGAGCCTAAAAAGTCGGAAAGAACTTCTTAAAGACTGGTCTGTAGTAAATTCTAACCCTTAGCCACGTAAGATTCCCAATTCCCCAAACTATGAGCGATACACTTCCTTCCGCATCTGACACGAGAATTTGATTCTACATCAAAACAACGACTTCAGAGTAATAACTTCTCACAGCAAGTCGAAACATCGTGATCAATACACTTGATAGCCTGACTCTACATCGTAAGACAAAAGATTGAATGATATGTAAGTTTGGGTAAGAAACTTACTTTAAGTCTACAGAACATGTATCCTTTTTTCGCGTTTTTTAAGCGAGAGAAGGCATACGCGAGGACTCGCACGTGTCTCACCCTTCACACGTACCTCGCACGTACTTCGAGCTACCTTCTACTCACCTGTAAAAAGGCAAAAGAAAAATACGCCTTTACTGTAGACTTAAAAACCGTCTCTTACCCGAACACAAACTCCAATCTCAAGCCCTGACTGGGAGGCCTCTGTCGCGGTACACTGTCTTCCTTTTGCTGTTCTTCTTTCGAGAGCTTCAATCTTTCTTTCAAGGCTGGTAAGTCCTCACGATACAGTGTTCTGCCATAGTCAATTTGGCGTTCCTGAAATGGAGCAGTTATTGAACTTAGCTTCTGGCGAGGAATGAGTTGGATACAAGACAAGTATAGCCACTAAACAAGTGGCTATATACAATAGGGTACTAATTCGGACGTCTCCATCCGATTGCGAACGATTTTGTGCGACTTCGCAAGGAACCTGACTGCAGACGTTTCTGTCTGACTTCTAACAACTCCATTTAATTGCTGACGGTTCCACATAATACTGCACGTTTCTGTCAAGTTTTGAACAAACGTTTCAGATATAAAATTCGTATGAACTAGACCAAACATCCCTGAGACCAAAAGTATAAAATTTCAGACAGCAATGCTTTGCAAAAATTTCAAAACTCATCGTCAGCTTACATTTTCAATATCACTGTCAAGTTCATCAGCATCAGATGCTTCCGAGTCACTCTCGTCACTGTGAGATTCTAAATACGCTCCTCCATCCACGTCATCGCCATCGTCACGTGACCCGTCAGGCAAGTAACGCCACTGAAAGATTGCGTGATCCCCACCGCCGACACTCATCACTCTCATCATGTCATGTGAAAATCGCACGTTTGTCACGTGTGCAGAATGTCCAACATACTTCCTAAATTTAGCACCTACAGAGTCGTTGGATTTTATCACTTAGAAAGTCTAATTAAATTCATAATCTAGACGCCTTTATACTTGAAATAACAGATGTCAAAGTTACGCTACAGTCAAGTCGTGAATAAACAGTGCAGAAAATAGTTAGAATAATAAGCCATTGTACTAAAAGCGAATGATCCAGAGCTTCCAAGAAACAGAATTGAGCCGCAATCCCCATAAGAGTCCTCCCCAATCGATCCGCCATATTTAATAAGAATTAGATTATGCTCTTCCCAGACTTCTAAGGCCGTGCTAACGCCACGAAATTTGCATATTCCCGCATAACTAGTTCCTATGCTTCGCATATCCACAAGTAAAGACGTTAAAAATAAGGGTCTTTCTTATTTCTTTCGAATCACTTTAAAATGAGAGGCAATAATAAATAACGCCCACAAGCACAACGAAATGGCATTAATCACCATTTAAGTCCAATATCACCCTGACGCATCCTTTGATCCCACGCAAGCTCTCCACGAGACAAGCCGGATGATGACGCAAGCCACCAAGGGGCCTGGACACCAACACCACCCTCGTGCACGTGCCGTAGCGCCTATCATGCCCTACTCAAAGGCCATACACTTTAAAAATTAGTACACTCATTTGGAAGCTCACCTTTTCTTAGACAAGGAAATCTAAAGAGCTTTACGAGACCAAAGTCGTCTCCAGTAACCAAGACCTCATTCTGGAAGCTGGCATCACAAGCATTAACATCGTTTGTATCTGTGTATTTCTCCCAGATTCCATTCACTTCCACTCCTAGTACACCAGTAAATGTAGCCCAGTGAATTGCCTTCACTTCGTCTTTATTTGCAATACGCTTGCCACCTTAAAAAAAAAAAAAATATATGAAAACAAAAACACAAGTTAGATCACAAGTACATCATTTTTGTGACCTGTTCCTCACTGCGACTCGCTTGATAAATTAATTCTAAAAGAGAATCAAAACGAAATTATCATTGAAAATAGGGGTAAGTTTCTAAAGAAACTGTAGTGCTGCGTCGGTGGGAGAGTATAGCAGGTAATTTAGTGTTAACAACTGAGTTGAAAACGTAAATTGGCCATCGTAAAGGGTAAAAAAGCTGACGTTTCGAGCGTTAATCGCTCTGACGAAGGGCTAACGCTTGAAACGTCAGCTTTTTTACCCTTTACGGTGGCCAATTCACGTTTTCAACTCAGTTGTTAGCACTAAATTACCTGCAAGCATGAAAATACTTGAACAAATATTCACTTCTTTAGATATATTCCTTTGAAACCGAAGTTTATAAAGTGGCATTAATGAACTAAATATAATATATTAATGATGCGGGTCTTTTGACCTTTTTTCCTCTCTCCCCTCCTCGTCCCATCTTGTGCAGTCATGAAAAATGACAACAGCTAACTACATCACATTAAAATACATGTGGTCTGTTTAATAAATAAATAGACTGTCAGGATAGAGCATAAACCAGTTTATTTCAGTTTGCAAACATGTATGACCCAGAGGCATCACATTTCCTGACCCCCAACGCTACGGCATAGATGGATTCAAAATCTTTTGCAAGTCACCCCAAGGTGCTGTAAGAATATTGTTCTTATGCCATTTAAACCCCCTGGGCCAGTGACATCACCAGTCTCCAACAGAGACCACTTACTTTGAATATCAATTGCTCGAAGCACAATTACACAAACGAGTCTCCCACACTTGGTTGATCTCAACTCAATCAATAAAAGCTACAAAAAAGCAATACAAGAGGGGCTCTTGCATGATATACTCACTTGGCATCTTGAAGAACAACCTCTCACTGGCACCAGAGTTGGTTTGCAAGTATTTGCTGTCCATAGACCAGTCTAAATGTGTGATAAAACTAGAGCTGCCTTTGCACTCTCCAACTTTTTTGTAACGCTGCGCGACAGAGTAGACATCCACAAAGTTGTCATTAGATCCCACCGCCAGATGTTGTCCATCAGGAGAGTACTTCAATTCATGGATGACTTCTTTGCGGTCTTTTATATGAGTTACTTCTGAAAGATCCCTTTGAAAAAGAAAAAAAATCTGCCACTGTTGATCATCATTATGTAACAAAACATTACCGCAGGAGGACTAGGAGTATGACAAGTCCATCTCAGAAATTGCCCAAATCCATTTCTCAACTTTTACTGGGTAGATTTGGGAGTGGAAAGTGACAATCAGTGTGCTCATTGGGAAAGGTCAACTTCACTTGACTTTTGTAACATGTAGCTACAGAACCAACAGGATGTCTGTTACCACAGGTATCCAATCAGTGAATTCTCACACAGGATTACTTTGTCTTTCCTTTTACAGAATTGTTTTAATCAAAACACACTCATCTTCAAACTAAACACCTATAGGAACAGAATTGAGGTTGACCTTAATGAAACATATCTGAAAACAAACTTGATTAAGGTAACACTAACTCTAGATCTATCAAATTAATTTATTTCATTAATCCCAAGGCTTAAAGGTGGAGCCCTCTCTTCCCCTCCAGGTCTCTTGCCTATAATAGCACTCCAGCCTAGTCCTTCCAATACACAGTTCACCAACCATACCACCCAACCACCATGCTATCCACCCTCCTTTAGAGGTCGACCACTGGTAAGCAGCTTTTGCTGAAACTTCTGCCTCAGACGATTGTCACAAAATCATTTACGCATGAATCTTTTGCTTGGTGAAACCTAGAAAACCTGGACTTCCACTGGGTATAAATATAACACTCTGGTCACTAAAACTGCAAATTCATGATAAATACCTTGCTTTTAGAACCATGAATGACCCATCACCAAGCCCTGCAGCCAGATGGCTACCATCAGCATTGAAACCCAATGAACGCACTTTCTGATCCAAATCTGTTCTAGCCAGAAGAGTCATATCTGACATGCTCCATAACCTACCAAATTCAGAAATATACTTAAATCAGCAAATCAGTTGCTTTTTCAAATTTGGGGTCAGAGAGAGAGAGAAGCTCAATCAAAAGGGGGTGCCTCACTTAGGTTGAACCACATTTTCATTACAACTTCTGCACACAAACAACCACAGTGGTTTATTAATAGACACAAATGATCATTATCAACTTTGACATAACTATCATAAATCTCTAAACTACCTTCTTAGTACACAATACTTATACCTAACACTTCTGTCATCACTGCCTGTAGCAAACATTGGCTTCTTTGGGTGCACAGCCAAAGCCCACAATTCTCCTTCAGCATGACCCTAACATAGGAAAATGAAGTCTGAATCTGTAATGATTTAAAGACATGGAGGAAAGACATTCTCACTGATATTTTAATACCTACCTGCACAATGGTTTTTGGTTTATCCTTTTCGGTAGCAATAACTTCAAATACTTCACCAGCATTTGTACCAACAAGAATTTTTTCACCCATCCAGAATGCACTTCGCACAGACAACCCTGAATATTTGGAAAAATTTAAAACAAAAATTTAAATCACACTGTTAGAAAAGCCCCTTCCTTAATTTGATCTCCTTTCTAATAACACCTAATCATCCTCATCATTCTCCTTGCATAAGTTTTGCAAATTAAAAATTGCATTTTAGCTCTTGGCGAGATTTAAATGAACCTGAGCCTCTACCTCTGGTAACCCTTCTCTCTGGTAAGCCTCTCTCTCTTATAAACCATATCCCTAACACCCTCTCCATCTACAACTTCTAGTCCCACTAAAGTGTTTGTGATGGTTTTGGCGTCTCTTAACTCTTCATAGCAACATTTAACACTTTCTATCGTCACTAGTTAATAATTGATGAAGTTGAAAATATACATCACAATTCTTATTAAATTCTTTTTAGACAAACAGCCCACTTAACCTTGTACAACCTAATATCAGTATGCATATTCTTCATACTTTTCTCAATACATTATCTAACACGCTGACAAGCAGAATTTTTTCAGTCAAGGATCATTTCCTTTATCCTGATGACCATAATGTGTGATTCAAGGGTGATGTTGTGAGCAAAAATTACAAGCTAGTCACTCTTAGGGGTCAAAGCACTCATATTTAACTTTATTGCATGCAGAGGAATCTTGAAAAACATTTTTAACATTGCATCACCTTCATAGCCAACAGGAGTGTTGATCATCTCTAGTTTCGTGATTGGTTTAAAACCGTTGTCCCACAGAATAACAGTTCCATCTTTGGATCCTGTTGCATATCCATCATTGTTTCCATGCATTGTAAATATTGCTCCCTGCAATGAAAACAAAATGGAAATCAGCAAGAAATTTCTCTTGCTTGAAATTAAATGAATACAAGTGAACTGGAAGTGAAACCTGAGGAAACGCTGGGGATAACCTGATGACTTAACATCCCATCCACAGAAGTGATAGCCCTACTAACACAACAGAAACCTGAAACAGTTGAAGGTTATCTGGAGAATAACCTTCAGCTGTGTCAAATGCAGACTTCTCCTCAATTGTCATTGTGATTCACACTGACTGTTCTTGTCATCAGGTCATTTGATCTTTTATTGCATTTCCCTTTGTTTCCTTAGAGTTACACACAACATGCTTTTGTCACCACTGTTCCCAACAGTGTGCAAAATGTGCAGTGTATGGCATAGCTTCCTTTGAAGTTCTCTGTAGCTCAGCTGAAGTGAATCACATTACAAAACCAAAAGTCTGCAGTGCAATTCTTGGGAACCCAGATCCTTTTTTGCTTTTGGTGTTATACTCAAAGAAAACCAAAAAGAGGAGGAAAATCACAATTTGCCATCTATCTTAATCCATCACAAAGTACATAACCAAGAAGCTTACATTATGTGCATTTGGAATAGTTCCAGATAAGTTGTGACCTTTCCATTTGTAGATCTCTCCACTCAGAGTGCCAGAGTATGTTACATCATTAGGACCAAATGCTAAACACAGATTTGTTTGAATCTCGCCAGCTTTACCAAAGACTCCTGAAAGAATATTCAATTAAACACTGTTAACATAGAGCAGAGTCACCACATCTACACAAGCACAAAACCACCCACAAAACAGTTGTTATTTTTATTTAAAAAAAATTCAACCTTTTTTAGGATTGAGAGCATTTCCACACAAGGTCCAAAACTTGATATGTTTCACACCACAGCTCACCAGCAAGTTTTCTTGGTAAGGGTTAAACTGAATGTCAAAGATCTGCAAACCAGAGAACAAGAAAATAACAATTATCACCTGTGATGAAGTAGTATCCCACCCTAGGGAATAGATATTAACAAAGCATGCATTAAATAGATATTTATGATAGATATTTATTAATGAAGGTCAAAATGCCAAGTTGGCTATAGTCATCTCTTATCCAACAAGTGTGAGTGGAGTAATTGGTCTATTAAAGTGCCCCAAAATATATGTGTAGATAAATCTTCCCAACTTATTTTTGTAAGAGCAAATGGAATAAAGATGTTTTTTGTCTTGTCATGTGTGTGGAACAAAAAAAAATTCTGAGTCCCCATGAGGAATTGAACCTCAGACCTTCAGATTCCATACTCCGATGTTCTACCCCTGAGCCACAGAGACTCAACAGTAAGCAAGGTCTATCACCAAGTTCATATGACACGTGTCCTACATACTGCTGGGATCAGCAATGTCGATAGCATCATGGGGAATTTTTTCCTTTGTCCCACACTTGTGACAAGATGAAAAAGATCTTTCTCTATTTTTTTACCAAGCTCAAAACTTACCATCTCTCTTATTTACAATAAATGGAATGTTACAATGACTAAAACAATTACACTTTAACTTGTCTTCATCCATACACATGGTATACTGGCACAACCCATGTTGGCTAAGCTATTGAAAACTCTAAGCTGATGAAAACTCTACTTTATAATCAAAAGCAAAACTTCACTACTCATCAAAGACATTGGGACAAACTTTGACAATAATTATGGGTTTTTTGTCATAATATGTGCAAGACCTGAACTGTTTTCACTGGTAAAAATAGATTACATCTTCTTACTCGATCAGTGTGTCCTCTGACAGATGCCAAGGATCTCCCTTTTCTCCAGTCCCAAACAGCTATCAGGTGGTAGTCTTCTAAACCCACTGACACAAGAAGCTGTTCAAATTAGCAATTAAAACATATTAAAGACAAACATTGGAATAAGCAACAGCTTGTAGCATATCTGTCTGTCTTCTTGCACATAGTGTAATTATTGATAATTAGCTTATACAAGACTGTGAGCTGTGAAAATTAATAATTGTGCAAGGTAATAACACTATATGCCAAGAATGCAGAAATGTGTCTTTTCTCTCCAATGCATATCAGCATTGCCTGCAATACAAGCAGTTTTATAAGCATCAGAGTTCAACTTATGACCACCCTTGAAAAACCTACTTCGAACTTCTATACAAACTTTGTATTTAGTGTACTTTCCCAATACATATATTGAGCAGCCTCCAACACTTTCAGTGTTTATGATACAAATATTTCAATTTTATAGCAGTTCCACTTAGTGAACACAGAATGAAAGAAAATCTCCCCATCTTCTGAATCATATTTTTATCAGTCAGCTTTACATTGGTATTTACCACAGGCAATTTATAGTTAACTGAGTGTCTGTTTTGTTTTCAAATATAACCAGTTACACTTAAAAACACCACTTGGGCAAGCAAGCTCTTATGCAGTTACCCAACCTCTGTGAATCACAGAATGGCACACATATTGCTAGTTCTTATATAAGAAATCAGCTAGAGTTTCAGATACCTTTTTAGTACCTACAGTGTGCCCCCTTGTGTGAACCTCCTCTAACAAGAATTACCTAACCCTTTAATCTCTTAGAATGACTAGCATCTAATTTCTCCCTTCAATATCACCCCTGGGTTACACATTAAGGTCATAAGAACAAAGGAAATGATCACCAACAAAAGGAAGGGTTAAAGAAAAATACCAGTTGACTTACTGTGCCAGTATTGTTGAACGCCAAACAGGTAACTCCTCGTTGATGAGCATCCTTCAATATGGAAACTGTCTGACATGTTTTTGAATCCCAAACACAGACATATGGGTCCTTGCCGACCTGTCCAGTTGCTACCAATTGTCTCTCAGGATGTAATGCCAAACTGTCAACAAAAACAAAAATTCCTCTCTATTTACGTGCAAAAGAAAAAGTCTGCACTTGAACCAAGATGCCCATGTAGTAGGAGTTCCACCCAATTTCTGAAACACAAAGTGAAAAGCAGTATTGTGCCACCCCCCACCCCCCTATGGTAGGCAGGAGCAAGTGAATCACAAGGTTGCCTCCAGCATTTTGTCTGTCACTGGGACAGTTTGCTGGTACTCATGTCTACTTCTAGGTGGAGAGAGGCACTGGAATAGCAAAGCATCTTTAACCGAAGAGCACAACAAAATGACCCAGCAGAAGCTAGAAACCAGACCTCTCAACCCAGAGTCCAGTATGCAATCCATTAGGCTGCCATGTCTCCCGCCTTTAAACTCATATACTGGGAACATATTTTAAAACAAAATGGGTGATAAAACCTTGTTTTAATTACTAAGGCAATTATGATTTTTAAATTATTAAAGTGAAATAGCCCAAGGCAAAAACCTTTGGAGACTCCTGCCTAAAAGGTCTGAAAGGGTTTTATTTTTTACAGAAACCTTGGACATCATCAGACCCAGGTGAAGCCACTGTAAACAGTTTTAATGTCCAATATTTTCACCTGTGTTGGGAGCATCTGTAAAGTACATAACAGACCCATATCAAAAGTGGAAACCCCAAATTAATTATTCATTATAAAGAAAATGAACCTCATGGCAAAAAAAGGTTACAATCCTAATAATATTTTATACTGAAAATATAATTTAGTGCAACGCAAATCACCACAGAAAACCCAGACCCAAATTTTTCATACAATTACTTGTATAAACCATTTAAACCCCAACATCAGTACGCATATTATCCATACTGTTTTCCATACATTTCCTTGGACACAGATAAGGAGAATTTGTCTAATAATCAAGGGCTGTATTTGCTGAGCATTTCCTTTATTCGCATTACCTAATGTGTGATTCATAGGTTTTATTGTGAGGAGGAAACATATGGCAGTTGGTCTTAAGGATCTGAGGGTTAAGCTTAAGACCAGCGTAGAATACAATTTCATGTCTGTGATCTACTTGTCCTTTTTCTTGTTTTCGTGTTACAAAGGACATTTTGGGGAAACAACAGAGTGGTTGGGATCATAAGATTAAGAAACAAAGATCCTCATTTGAGAGCTAGTATAGCTGCCTATAAAGTTTTTAATTAGGTGGTCCTCATCAATTTTCCGCTGCCACATGGCAGAGGGTCTAATTTGAATATTAACAATATGGGTAAAACACATTTGGCACATTTACTGCCATTCTAATGGATATCAAATGATAACAAATAACAGACTTCAGTCAAGCTTGTATTTCAAAGTCAGGGAGGTATTTCAATTTTTTTCCATGCTTCAATTTTAAAGCTACGGTTTTTTCCGATATACATGTATGAGAGGCAATATTGTAGAAAAATCAGCTACTATTAAATCAGGACCTAACAGCAATATAATTACAGTTCAAAACGTGTCTTTTCAGACACAGCATGTTATTTGAAGTTAATTTCAAAATGTCACACTACTTTCCAAGCTTAAGTATTTAATAGACAATGTCGTTCTTTAGTCATGTCTCTCTCACTTCCTAAATAATCAAGTAATATTTTTGGTAGTTGGCCCGTCCATTTGAAAACAGTCTTCCGATGACAAACAATCTAAATGTACAAAAAAACGCACGCCAGAAGCTTCGAGTTTGACAAAATTTACATATAGACACTTTGAATTGTAAATTCGTCTGCTTACTAGAAAATCAATAATTGAGCATTTTATTGATTGCGCGCTTTAAATATTCAAACAAAAATATAGGGTGTGACAGTTCCGCTGCTACATTTTCTAGAGCGTAAACGCACGAAAAAATTCGTCGAAGGAATAAAATTCAGTACTTGAAAACACTGGAAAAGTTTCTGAGATTTGGTCGTGATCGAAAGTCAATTTCCCAGTATGGAATCATATCAAAATAATAAAATTTAAGTTCAACTTCGATTTCCTCACTAATTGATAAGGTGCTGTTCACAGATCACCCGGACCTTCAATGCAAAAACGGATGATAAAAGCAAAAAATAAGCTGGTTGTACAATTTAGGCTTCAACTTGTACCTTTGAAATAAAAACCGAAAGTAATAAATTTTTCGCTTTGCATCACTGATCAAGCGCACGATCTGTTTGGCTTGGAAATATTTTCAACAATTATAAAAAATTCCCGAGATCTTGCTTATAGAAACCTTGGTTTAAAATTCAAAGCATAAAGAATCCATAACAAAACGAAATAAAACGAATTAATCGCGGTCAAAATCGAACAAGACTTGTAGGCAACTTGTACTCAATGGGTTCACACGGCAACACATGTCAACATACACACACGATATACATGTGTATGAATTATGCTCTAAGACTGCAAATACCTCAAGTAAATGTGTCTTTCATTACTGCTGTAAACGGAACACCGCACGGTATTCCCTTATAAAGTTAAACATCACAAACCTAATAATATCATCGTTGTGTCCGAGAAAGAATTGCTGAGAGTTTTCCCTAGTGTTATAAACCACACCGACTCCTGCCACGAAGTACACGATCTCTTTCGACGAGGTGTAGTAGAGATTGTTGCGGCATTGATGTCCTCTGTAACCGTATACCCATTCTAGTTTTAGCGACGAGCTCGGAGCAGTTCTATCTGTCATTTTATCTCACAATGCTGCTAGACCGTGCCATCCGTTCGCAACCAAACCACGCGCCAAAACTTCATTCTTGACTTCCTTTCCGCGTTACGGTGGCCTTTCTAGAACTTGAAACTAAGGCATATTTTGATTGGTCAATTGTAATATCAAAGTCAATTTCATTGGATGATCACAAAAACTAACAGACCTATCGTGACTCGAGGTCACTTGAATTTGAGATATCTTCATCTCGAAGATGGGAAGGATCTGTGGACAAATAAACTAAATAACGCTAACCTTCATTGAACTGTACTCTGAGTCAACGTCAAAAAAAAAACCGAGGATTTAAAAAATAAAGTTGACTCCGTAAGGCCTTTTTCAGAGCACACAGTTCGAGGTTTAATCATAGAAAGCCCATACAGGCACTTAGTATCGTAAACTTCATAACAACAAACGAGGGTCTTGTCACTTGTCTTCTCTGAGTTATGAAATAGCTTGAAATCGCTAATTTAGGACATATTAGTCGCAAACAACACATTAGGGAAGTAAATAGGCCACTATTTATTTTATGAAGTTTTCGACTCTAAGTTCCTCTATCGCCTGTATTGGGCTTCCTGTGTTTTAAGGAGCAAGCAAGAAGTGGAATAATTTTTAGGGGTTTTCCTTCATAGGGCAGAATTTTTAGAGTACTTTGGTCCTAGAGGTCACGAATTCAAACCTTCGGCGCCAACCACTGTCCCAAATCCC